TTTCTAAACATTTTCATGTGTTAAGACGAAAATATCTGGAAACAAATGAACTCCAACCGAAAATAATTTTCGTTTGCGGCTCACTATGTCAAGCCGAAAAGAAATTTCTGTCCCAACACTAAAAATTCAAGATGTCTGCCACACATACGCAGATTCAAAATATAACATACTTTGCTAATAAAAACTTCTTTCACTTATTCAAGGTATAAGACAATCCCCCCCCCCCAAAAAAAAAAAAATTACATATTGCGATAACTTTGTTGGGTATTGTGTTGACGATGTTAGGGAAAGGAAAAAACACTCGACGCCAAAAAGGCGAATCCAAGGACGAGTGCCGCCATCTAGCGATCAAGACGTTTAACTAAAAGCAAGAGATTTAATCGACACTTGAATTGTTGTAGGTTTGGTTTCAGTCACTATAAGAACTATGTGAAATTATAATTCCCAGATGGGGAATACATATTTATCGTAATATTTGGAGTATGTTGTAATTTTACACTTGGAACTATAACGGTTTGAAGATGAAAGTACACAAGACAAAATAACAATTAAAAATTTACCGTTTTGGATTTCACTTCAGTTATTAAAGCGGTAATTAAGTCGCAGTCTCTCATACTTGTATTTCAAACAGGCTCTATATTTTAAGATTTTTAAACTAAAACATATATATATATATATATATTTAATTTTAATTCATAATACTTTAATTGTATTGTTTTCACAAATCACTTTATTGCTACATAACGTCACAATCCATTACATACTAGCCTTCATTATTTTTTTTAAATTTTAAACTTTAGCTTTAATGGAAAAAAGAAAAATAATTTTATGAGAAATGATTATTGTACTCAGCTTTCACATCACTGCTTCTTAAATTCATGTATTTAGTCGTAAACCTCTATGCACATACTTCTACCAACTAAAAAAATCTAATTTCTCACAATAAGAAAAATAAGATAAAAAAAAATAAATAAAAACTAAGTTTGGAACAATGAGCAATGTTTCAAGTAGAAAATCATTAAATTACGATAACAAGCACTACATATTAAAATAATGAGGTCAAAATTTCTACTTGGTCTAAGCTTATTGTTTTCCTACGCTCTTAGAAAGATCGTCGAACAATCGAGATTTATCGTAAATCGGAAAGCATTATCAACATATTAAAAGAAATGAATTAAAAAATACAATGCAAATACAAAAGATGATGGCTAAAATATAATTTACAATTAAAACAACAATACGAATTCAGAATACACAAACGATACATTAAACATTGCATATAATATACGATACATAACTGCTGTTCTCATTACTGTGTACACAACAATCATTACTATGTACACAACGAATCTCTTTTCACTTAATTATAAAATTGAAAAAACTCGTCATCGCGCACAGCGTTGGGATTACGCATATATACAGCGATCTGGGTAAAAGTATACAGTCAAAAGTCGTTAATCCGGACTCGTCGGAACTTCGGCGATTCCGGATTATCGATTTTTCCGTATTATAGATCATCAGTTTAAATCTGGTAAGATGGCATGTAGAAATTATAAAATTAAAAATATGAAACCGTAATTTATGAAATAAAGTAAAATAATGATCTAAAGGGTATCAAAATTGACAAAAAAAAAAAAAAAAAGCTTAATGTTTATTTGTTTACTTTATTAAACATCTCTTTCAATGTAAGTTGTTTAAGTTGCTTCGTTTTTTATGTGATAATACTTTCTCTTTAATTCTGTAATAAACAAACATAAGTTCTTCAGTTACAAAGTTCCGCTGTTGAAGTCCTATAATTACTGTGTCGAGAATACCGACTAATTTGTCAATCGAAATTTTTTCGTTTTCAATAACCTCTGTGTCACTTTCTTCACTATCGGAAGCGAATTATAATGACGAGAAATTTGATTTAAATCATATCAAAGACGGAGTACATTGAGATAAAATACTACATTTAGTAAGGAATTATAAGCCAAATAAAATAAGAACATCTGCCCTGAAGATAAGGATAGTGCTGACAGATCAACTTCCAATTCATTGCGCGCCGCAGCGTCCCCCCCCCCCGCCGCAGAGCAGCGTGAAATTGATAAACAGATTTCGGAATGGTTAGAGAAACAAAGGATATGCCTTTATCCATTTTTTGCGGCAATTCCACTTTTTGTTTAATGGACTTCGAAACATACATTCGCTTTGTATATCCTTTACATATTAGTAAATATATATCGGAAATTCTGTTTGATATAATCGAAAGTTCAAGCTTACTTTTAGAAAATTTCTCTAACAGTCTGCAAAAAATAATAAGCCGGATCCAATTCGAAGATTAAGGAACAACGCAATCTGCAACATTAACTGAATTAGATAATTTTAGCTTAGCTTATACCGTCCGTTATACAATAAACGCGCATGCGTAAACGTATTATGTGCATGCGCACAAGCATATTCGCAGCCGTAAAGGACTTACGCGCATGATGCGTCAAAGCGCCGCATGCGCAGAAAGTTTGTGGTTTTGAGTTCCGGATTATTGGTGTCCGAATTAACGACTTTTGACTGTATTTACGGGTACCCCTTGGCGATTTTTGGCGGTAAATGAATACCGAGTTTGTGCAATTCCTTGACTTGTTATTTTGGATTTGTGTAGAGGCGATTTTAGAGCTAAAAATCGCCGCTACACTAAGGCAAAATAAGTCAAAGAATTGCACAAACTTGGTATCCATGTACACATTGACCTATTTTCACAAAAAAAAAAAAAAAAACAGAAAATTGCACAAACTAGGCATTGCGCACTCCTTTGACTTTATCCATGTACACCTGCGACCTATTTTCACTTTAAAAAAATCAGAGAATTGCACAAACTTTGCATTGCGCACTCCCTTTGTCCATGTACACATCGATACATTTTCACTTAAAAAGTCAAAGAAGCTCCCAATTCTAGGTAAAAAATATATTTACGGAACATTCAACTACTAAGGTTACCATACATGAACCAACAACTTGGCGATAAATGAAACAACAACTTCGCGATAATACAAGGGGTACTCTTCAGTTTACTGTAACCGCGATCTGCTTCCTCTAAAAGAATCAGAGTAATGCATAACGGCATCGTGTACAACAACATTAAAGCGCACACAGCGATCTGTTTTCACATAAAAAGCATCAGAGAGTTGAACAAAACTCTGCATTTCGCGCAATCAATTCCCTTGACTCGAGTTATAAAAAAATAACTTTTCCAGAAAAATAATTCAATCGTGAAAATGAAACTACCGTGATAATATCATTATCTAAGTCAAATTTGGCTTGCACCGGATATTTCACTTTAGGCAATAACAATAAGTGAAACTTACCTATAGTCGCCTCCATTTTTGAAATGTCTTCCCGTCATTTCACTCAGAGGTAGCTTCGAAAATCATAAATCCTTTCGAACAGACTGTAATTCAATACTTACATTCGCCTCCTATAACTCTACACAGCCACTCAAAATCATTTATTTATACAGTTATTTCGCTTTTCCAGTTTCCTATTAATTCCACAAAGCGTATATATTTATACGATTTTGCAGTCAACATTTTCTCCTTACACAAATGATTCACAATGTAAAAATTTAGCTCCAACTGGTTTCTAAAAAAATTCTGAACTCAGATTTCATCCATACTGCATGAAGCATTAATATCATACCAGTGATTAAAACGTTCTATGAGCAAAAGAATTCTTTACTGTATTTTGAGCAGTTACGGTTATAAAGTTTTAATGATTCATTCAGTGTTTTCAATCGTTTGGAAAACCTTAATAGTGCATTTTTTAGAGCTAACTCATTGCATTAAATGTTAAAAATAGCACAAAACACACAATAAAGCAGATTTATAATAAAAAATAACGCCAAAAAGGGCTTTTTTAACGTTTTGAGTGTTACCTTTATTTATTAACTATCATGTTCTTCGTACTTAAATCATAAAATTCAGTTCAGCAGCAGTATCGCAAAAATAATTTTAAAAGAGCATATCTTTAGAATTTTCGATGCACAGTCTCGCGCGATGGGAATAATTTTTTTTTCTAATGTTGCCACTGTTTGCTCCCAAATAGTTAAGTTTGTTAGTTAAAATTTCGCAAAATATGAAATAGATAATCAAACAAACTCCAAACTTCAAATTTGGGTTTCCAGATGCCCATATTCGAGTGGAGGACTACATTATTCAAAATTGGATGTCTCAACCTACCGTTGTTTTTTCACTATGAGAGAAACAAGCACACATTCATGCAGATTCTTCACTATTTAATATCTTTAAATATAATGCAAACTCTAGTACCTTTTTGGCAACAATTTGAAAAGTGAAACGCCGTTAAACGCCTCCATGTAGTGGACGATGCAAAATGCGAAATTAGTAGCCCTTCTGGGCTAATTGGCCCTTTGGGCTAAAAATCTCGTGCAATAATTTTATAAACATAAAATTTCAACTCAGTTAAAATATAATTTTAATCTCTTCAAATGTGAAGCTATAGTGTAAGTTTAACTTATTTCCAGAAAGATGCCTGGCCAATATTACGTCATAAAAGGCGTGTCCAAGCATGAGACAAGTAAATATCGTCTTGATTTTATGCAGTGCCTTTTAGGATTGAAACCATATTTATTTTCTGAAATTTGTCATCTGTATAAACAATATTTCAATAGTCGAATTCGGGGATGAAACACACGGACCGCATTCAAAACACGCTTACCACCACATACGTTTTGGTTGCCACCTTGTTCGTTAGTTTCTATCAATGAAGTTTTGTCAAATAACCTCTATGAACAATACACATTCTTTGGTTTTGTTATAATAAATAATAATATATTTACTGTAAAATTTAGAAATTTATGATGTATTTGATGTAATGAAACAGCCTTACATTTATTTTACAATGAGTGTTTACTCTTCGTTTAAGGAAGTGAAACGGTGCTTATCATCGCTGGAATTAATTGATTGAATCTGGAAAGTGAAAACACTTCAACTAATACTAATATTGTCATGATGGCTGCTCACATGTTTGACGAAATGTGTTTGAAATTTAATTTATTTGACTTGATAAATCAAGATCTGAAGTACGTTATTCTTAGTAGAATTTATTATCTCAAATGTTGAAGTTCCGATTGTCGTATTTGATGTATACCTGTAAAAACTCGTTAGAAAAGCGGCAACAATGAATTAGTCATTAGTTGTTAGGGTTTTAATTTTATAAACACGGCCAACCTTTATAATTTTTTTAGGATTAAAATATATTTTGATAGTTTACTATGTTACACGGGAAAGCAATAGATTACTGAAGGTTTTTGTAACAAATACGAATGTTTGTGTAACAAATAGTTTAATATTGTTACACAAACAGAATACTATTGTTGTTTCCTATGCTTTGCTATTGCTGTACGTAAATGTTGCCCATACGATTAGTTTATTGACTGCAGCAGAATTGTCACTGGTTTTCTACCTTTGCATAATATCTTTACGTAAGAAGTTCTGAGACAAAAGCTAGTTCGTGTTTCCGTACCCACTAAGAAAATTCCGTTTAGGCACTGAAAATAGAAACTACCAGCGTTTCGCCGCTGACCACTGGAGGGCCACTGCGTACGTGGAGCAATGTAAATGTAAAATATTTATTTACAGCGTACTAAAATAAATGGAGGATTTGGCTATATATTCATGTTAACATACATCCATTGCGCCTATATGAGTTAAATGGCAAGCAAAAAAGATTGCCAACTCACTTTATTTTAACCTACTATTTATGTATCTTTTAAAATTTTTAGCGCTTGATTTGAAGTTCAGCATGTATTGTAATCCCAGGCATTGCAAACTTCACTTTGAACACTGCTAAAATATACTTCAGATTTATAACATAACATGAAAGAATTTAAAATTTTTATACCTTTAAAATAGTAAGTAAATATCATTCTTACATGTGTAAAGGCACAACAAAATACATAAAATCAGTTGTTGTAACTAACAAGTACATAAAACAATTATGAATAATAATATTTTCCCTCTCCTTGGAAATGTTTGTTTCCCTTTATTTTCTCTCTCTCTCTCTTTTAAATCAGAACTTGGTGTGTTCCCATAATTAGTTTATGATCCCAGCCAGGGCAGTGCAACCTGTGCTATTGCACTGGGCAGCAAAACTTTTAGAATTTGGGTGGAAACTGGATGGCCAAATGTGTAGCATCAGCCCATTTCCCTACACTCATTGAATATGCAAAAGTCAATGGGTATTTTGAAAATAGGGGAGAGGAGATGAAGAGTCTCAAAAATTAATAAAACTTAAAAAGGAGAAACAAGAAATCCATTATAAAACATTTAGCCTTTTCAAGAAATCCTTATGTAAATTTTTTACTCCATGTTACAACAATCTGTTTTCATTTAAAGAGCATTGTATGAATTTGGCATTATGCACTAAAGTGGAACAAAAATCTTTTCTTTGAAATTCACATTGCCAAGTCATTATATGTTTCCAAATGCATAAATTCTGTTTAAATTTCAGCCCAGAATATTGACATCTTGAGGATCCACACCTCAAGTGAATTTCTGTACTGACCTTTTTTAATAGCTTTATGCTTTTTTCATGAACTGCTTTGTCAAAAATATCATTATTAGCATGAGAAACTACTTTCCACACAAAAATGTCAAATTTAATGTCAATATATGCTACTAGATGCCAGAATGATTTCTAATCTGATTTGTTCTTGCTTGGGGTAAACAATAAAGTGTCTTCCATGATCTTTCAACGACTTTTTATTGTTATTTATTTGGTTGTTCAGTGTGTTTTATCCATCCTGCATTATCAGTCATTATTTATGTTGGACTAAGATGAGGTCAACTAGAAGTGCACCTTTTGAGATCTTTCTTGGTCATAAACTGTATTGGTTTGTACGCTTATTGCACACCAATGAATTGCTTCTTCATAATCTTTTCCAGAAGATTGATAGAAATACTTCTGAACCACAACAGTTTTCTGGAACAATAGAAAAATCCCTGAAAACATATGAAACCTTTCCCATAACAGGTTATGTCCTTATTCCAGTTGATCTAACTGAAACTGACAAAAAAGACCTGATATTCACCAAAAATACATCCTTGAAATTTCCAAGGCAGTATCCTCAGAGTAGTGCCTTTCAGGCCTAGCAGAGCCCTAGGAAGATCGAGTCATCATATGCACATCTCTGCTTGCTCGGAACAAAATCGAGCTCTTCTTGAACCAGATGATAACTGGGGATGAAAAGTGGATTACCTACAAAAAGATCATAAAGAAAAGGGCACATTGTGAGTCCGGAAACCTAGCCCTTCTACCTCTAAACCAAATTTGACTCTGAATAAGGAGAATGTTTTGTATATGGTGGGGCATTTGAATACCAATACATTATGAGCTTTTAAAACCAAACAAAAAGCCCATTTCAGAGAAGTATTTTCAGCAACTGGATAATTTAAAGACAGAAGTCCAAGAAAGAGGCCGGCAGTGTTCAATAGAAAGGACATTATACTGCATGATGATAATGCCAGGCCACATGCTGCTTTGTGGACTCGTAAAAAATATTGCAGAACTAGGCTGGGAAATTCTGTCGTATCCACCATGGACTTAGCACCCTCCAACTATCACTTGTATTTTTTCTTAAATAATTTTTTGAAGGGCAAAAAATTTGAAAATGATGATATCGAACAAGCATTGGTTCAATTTTTCGCATCGAAATATACAACATTTTTTATATGGGATACACAAATTGCCCTCACTCTGTCAAGAAGTCATTAATAGTAATGACAGTTACATAATTTAGTAAAGTTTATTGACGGTAAGAAAAATTTTTATTTTCTTTTATTCCAGAAACAGACAGAGGTACTTTTCTGTTTTGCCAGCGCAAATGATAAAGTCGCCAATAATGGTACAACTGATGCCAAACGGAATATCTTTGCTGGTAACCTTTTATGCTTCATTTTCAAAACAAGTCGCTGCCATTTCTTATCAGATTGATTTTTTCTTTCAGTACTAGCATACAATTATATAGAATTTTTACCAGATAGTTAAATTTTATGCCGTAAAGCCATTGCGGTAATTAAGTCAATTAGGATGCAATCACAATGCTCACCCGAAGGTGAAAATATAGAAAAGGCAAAGTCAAGGGTTAAATTCATCAATTCTAATGAGAATGCACTAGCAAAGTAAAGCACTGTGGTTTTACATAATTTCTGAGTAAGCTATTCATACGAATTGAAATAATTCTTGCATGTAAACTTGTATTTTAAATTAAGATTTAACTTGAAATTAATGTAGATAATTACTGAGTGAATTAGATTTTTGTAGCATAGTCTATGTGAGATCAGATCACTTGGGGTCACATAATATGAAAAGGCGAATCAGGATGTTGAACCATGAAAGCATAGTAAATTCTTAAATTAATATCTTTTTACAAATTTATTGATTTTTTACAAAATTTTAAATGATATTAAAATGTTTATGCCTTCAAAATAAAAAAAAATGCTTTATATGTACACTGTATGTGGTCACCAATAAAGTGTGCTTGGCGAGATTTGTACCAGCGAAACGGAAAAGTACGCAGACAGAACAAGTTTATATACCATCGTGGTTTGAAATTAAAAAAATCCTTAGAGCAACACAGGGAGAATAGAAGGATCACAAGAAAAGTTCATTCTTACCAAAAACTTTTAAGACGAAGTTCACGAAGTTATTCAGAGGAACTATTGTTGTGCTCACTTTGGAAACGTCCTGTTGGTGATGCTGGAAGATTGAACAAGCACATAAACTGACTGGAAGGAGAAAATATAACAATTTGTGCTTCCCAAATTGAATTTCAAAGCAGATGAATATTTTGAGATGATTTTCTGGAACCTCACCGACGAAGATGTAAAATTGATTAGAGATAGTTCTCAGTTTGAAGTAGGGGTATAACTCTGATATACGCCCTAATTTCACCAAATGTGGCAATATGTGTTTTGTGCTGGTTTTGGGCACAATTACGTGTTGTGTGGCAACCCTGTTGAAGTTGAAAAATCTTTCGCTGGAGCTCCTTGGTTCGCGTCTGTGTCTGAGAAAATAGGGAGGAAAGATAAAATGGTGGAAGTTGTTGAATTGAAGTTCGGCAAAAGGAAATATTGTGGCCATCCTGTTGAGGAGCAGGTTGGTATTTGGAGATGTTGAAAGAGGGTCTGGGAGATTATTTTTAGTGGCTGTGCACGATAGAAGTAGGGATTTGTGATATTATTTATTTGTGAACCATAGTATGAATTTCCTGGATAGTGTGTCTGGCTGTCATATAAATACGATAGTGATTACGTTGCTGCATGTTAAAGGCAGTATGAAATTAGTATTTCTGCTGTTTTGAAAAAGCATTAATTCATGGTAAATGCTTTTTTTTTTTTTTTTTTTTTTTGTTCTTATTTTGTAGAATGTTATGTTCATTGTTTTTTTGGATTGTTTGAAATTTATTTTAGTTTATTATGTTGATTAGTGCGTAGTGTCTAGATTGTGCAATTTATAGATGTTTTTTAAAGTTGAAACAGAATGCTGTGTACATGGTATTCTTTGAAATTTATTGTTGTTAGGTTAATTTATTAAAGCGAGGTGTGCCTAGTTCGTAGAATCGCTCGTTACCTAAATTGTGCAATTCGTAGATATTTTTTTAAGTTTAAACAGTATGCTGTGTACTTGGTATTCTTTGAAATTTATTGTTATGTTTTTGAATTATATTGTAATTTAGCGAAGTGCGCGTAGTTCGTAGATTCGTTCGTTGCCTAAATTGTGCAATTCGTAGATGTTTTTTAAGTTTAAACAGGAATGCTTGTGTACATGGTATTCTTTGAAATTTATTGTTGTTATGTTAATTTATTAAAGCGAGGTGTGCGTAGTTCGTAGATTCGTTTGCTTGCCTAGATTGTGCAATTCGTAGATGCATTTTTAAGTTAAAACATATCGCTGTGTACGTGGATTCTTGTCAAAGATTTTTGGTTAGAAACTTTATGTGTTTGCTATCTAAATTTTTTATTTCTGTTTTGGATTTTTAGCTTAAATTGTGTGTTGAAAACGTAGTTTTTGCATGAGCAAAAACCATGTGTTTGGAGACATTTTAGGCTTAAAGTTCGAAATGTAGAGAAAAAATTTAGATAGTAATATGGCAGCGTGGATGTTTGGTGAGAAATTTGGCGACTTGAGGGTGCATATCAGAGTAATTCTGAAGTAGGGGAAGACTCAGATAACCGGCACTTGGCGCAATTTTTTCCGCCGTCTTGCCGCCATAATCGACAAATATAATTATTAATATTAATCAAATAATTATGAATTAATTATTTAATTTTTAAATCATTAATAATTTTAATAGTAATTTTTTTCTAAAATTTTTTAGTAATAAAATAATTCAGTAGCGAATGGTTTACGGCAACTTGATTTTAATAGTAATTTTATTTCTAAAATTTTTTAAGTTCTTTAATTTGTTCTAATAAAATAATTAAATAGCGAATGATCACATGTAACAACAAACAGCTTATCAGCGTATTCACCACGTCTCCTGACAAACTCACGTGATCAGCAGTAAGATTCATCTGCAAAGTCACATGACAGCCAAAGTATGGCGCGTAAGAAAATATCCCTTCCCTTTTCCCTTTCTCCCTAGCTTAGTGAAGGTCTAAACTTGCAACCTGAACTGTCCTCCCACTGTTGGCCGCCTATCGCTCAAGTAGGTGAACCCGATTTCAGGAAGTTCGCCAAGTGCTGGTTATCTGAGTATCCCCAATCTGAAGATGACGAGTGACTAAGCTGATACTTTTTACTGGCTTTTTTTTATCAATTACAACCCTTATGTTGAGTCAAGAAACAATTGTATTGTAAAAAAATCAGTAAAAGTATTGTGAAAAATAATTTTATGTTTTCATTAATGTTGATTATTTCATTTACTTCATGTGGAACCTGAAGATGACAAATGATTGAACTGCAGTTTTTTTTTCATTGAAAAGAACCATTTGTTTGTTCAAGAAATTATAAATTTGAAAAAAGAAAAAAAAATCTTTTTCACTGCACCCTATTGCATACACTGTTTTCTCTACGTGTGCACAGTAATCTGTTTTCATTTAATATCAGAGATTTGGACAAATTTGGCATTGCATACTCTGTTGTTCTTTCCAAGTACATAGCAATATATTTTTGCTTTAAACAAAAGTCGGAGAATTGTGCAAAATTCGATCGTTTGAGAAGTACAACTTTATGGTACATGAAATTTCACATTCTGAAATATTGAGCAAAACATCATATTTCCAAAGAAATGTGGTATTTTTTAATCAGCTAGCAAACTTCATAGTCCCAAAATAATTCCTTGCAAAGCCAAAAAAAAAAAAAAAAAAAAAAAAAAACTCTGGGGAAAACATTAATTAGAAAAATTACAATCAAATTTGAAGGTTGAAATCTATGCTTATTTGCTGTACCCTGCACTTTTAATGACTTTATTCATGACAGTTCATTGTTTGGTAATAACCTTCCAGTTTAGATTTCCTGTTTTGTATAATCATTTGCAATACCAAAAATGCAAGTTTTATGAATTTTTTATTTACATTATACCTTTTCTTTAGCAAGAAGCCTCTTTGAACTAAATTCAGGTGCTTTACAATACTTTGTTGTTTATTTTCATCCTTGGTATTTAAATTTGAAGTTTCATTTCTTAGCATTTTCAATTAAAAAAAATTGTTGTCAAGAAAATGTGAGCTGGTATAATTGATCTGTGTCTTATGATCTTTCTCTTTGCAGAATTAACAAATGATCTTCTAGAGACTAGAATAGTCTGCAAAATGAAGAGTATAGATCTTTTTCTATTTATCAAAATTTTGGTGATGATTTGCCATTAAAATGCTGTTTTTAAATATGAAAATAATTACAAATAATAAAGACTATATGAATGAAAACGATCCATTTGTTGCTTTATTAAACAGTTTAATTTTTAAATCCATTATATAGCTTTATAATATAAACAAAAGTCAATAAAAATTTCTTGGTTTTTTTTTTTTTTTTTATATTGAAAATTTGAGTGTGCAATTAAATGACGAGAAAAAGAAAATAACTACCAGTTTAGTGGCTCCATCTTAAACTATAACTAAAACTGGTGGATCACATATTACATCATTATCAAAATTTTTATTCTATAGTTTTAAATATATATAAATAAAACTGTATAGATCTGTATATATTTTTTAATATTTATTTTTTTATTAACTCTGTTTTAGAAAATTTTTAGAAAATGTAAAAGATGAGAAAGTTTGTATTGTCTCTGTCATTGGCAAAACGTCATTGAATTCTCCTCAAATCAAGGAACATATAATTGCTGAAGCTCTTGACAAGCATATTTTTCAGGTAAATATTTTTATTACTTTTAGCTAAAGATTATATATATGCTAAGAATATTATTCAAACAAAATGTGTAATTTTTCAAATTGACATAAATTTATCTTTTCATTCTTTCATGAATCAAAAAGAATGAAGAAAATAAGAAAAGTAGTTGGGTAAGTTCATTCTTAATTTAATAAAATTCAGAGACTGTTAATGTAGTGACTAATTAAATGTGTAAACTGCATGTTCCAGAAATTATAAAATTAAAAATATGAAATAGTAGTTTATGAAATAATGAAGCATTTATGATCTTAGCACACAAAGCATTACACGTACATGCAATTTCCTTACATTCATAGAAATATGTTTGGCAGTAGATTAGCAGCACAAAAGTAAAAAAGGAGTTGCATAGATTCCAAAGATGCTAGATTAAGTAAATGATATTACGATTCTGCTTTATTTTTATTTGCTTAATTAAGGTCTGCAGATTTGTCATTATTATTGGTCAAAAGACTGTACTTATATATGTAAATGCATCATGATCATTACGTAAAAATCACATAGCATGGATCAGTTTTGAAGTGATGTAGTTCAGAAAGATTTACTGTAATTTCCGGAAGAAAGGCCGCATCAGCGTAAACGCCGCACTCGAGAAAAATGGCGGGAAAAAAAATTAAAATTACACAGAAACGCCGCAATAGACTAAATTGCACGTGACATCGTCGTGGGCCGTATAGATGCAAAAACTCAACCTAAGTCCTGATGTATGACATACCAGTTAAGAAAAATGCATGAAATGAAACCATAACTCAAAAAAAATTAAAGGTAAGAAATGTATAGCTTCTGTGCCGTTTAGAGACATTTTCAAAAATTTCTGCTCCCTTTCTACTTAAAACTATCCAACAAGTACTTGTACCCAAACTGATGGGATCTGTATTTGGCAGAATGCCAAGAAAAATACATTCATGTGAAGGGAAAATATGTCAGAGTTCGTTATGTGAGGCAGGTGGAGTCGTGTCCGCCTTTGAAAAAATTGCAGAAAAGGCAGGGTGGGGAGAGGATGGGTCCTGGAAGATTATCGAATGGCAGAGGAGAGAGGACTATTCAAATGATGAGAATGTTGATTTGAAAGGGGAAGAATGTTATTTTTTTTCCTTCTTTTTTTTTTTTTTTTTTTTCTTTTTTTTTTTTTTTTTTTTTTTTTTTTTTTTTTTTTTTTTTCTTTTTCTTTTTTTTTTTTTCTTTGAGATCTCGTTTAGGGTGAATAAGGCTGTAGGTCCGTTCAAGGGAAAGAATGTAAACAAAATAACGTTCGCAAAAAGCAAACTGAGTGGTCTTTTGTGTGGGAACAGCACCAGTTATGCACAATGACAAGGCCATCCAAACTAGTACAATGACCATCATAGGAAATATTTTATTTTTAGTGCACCTAAACGCCGCATGGGTAGAAACGCCGCACCCGCTGAAATTTAAGTTTTAAACACGTAAACGCCGCGGCGTTTCTTCCGGAAATTACGGTATTATAAGCATATGACTGTTTTTAGGATAGAAAGAGAAAACAGGCGTATTTCAAAAAGGAGACTTGGGCAGCTATAGATTTGCACATTAAACGTTTGAGTCCCAAGCAGCGGGATTATGTTGTTGAGATTTTGTGTAAAAAAAAACCCAGTACATATCAACATGTGAGCAACTGACGGTGCGTTACGGAAGCGCTGTCTCACCGCTTGGTATTTCTCAACATAAAATAAAACAATCTCTATCACGCTGCTTGGATCTTTTCGCACTCATTTAGAGAAAGCGCAGTTGGGCTGTTTGGGATTCTGTGACAGTGTTTTTTCAGTACAATTTTTTCATTCAATTTGAAGAAAACATGCAATTTTAGATTTCTATGAAAATTTCTGAATATTTTGAATGATTTAGAACAAGGATGTCAAACTCGCGGCCCTCGAGCCGCATGCGGCCCACAACAAATATTTTTGCGGCCCGGCCAATATATTGGCAAATAATAATATATAATAATAAAATAACATATCGACGAAGAAAAAAATGAAATGTTTACTGCTAAGTAATTAACGATAATTTATTCAGTGTTGTTAGATTACTCACAGCGAGCTGACACACACACTACTTAAATTACAAATGCGTGTGAGTAGCTTGCGTTCAGCTACCTTCGGCTTTTGGGGGACACGTGCACTCAGAACTTGTACGCATTCCCCGATAGCCGAATGTGGCCGAACTCATGGTCTCAGTTTTCCAATCATAGTTTTGTACGATATATGGTGCATGTGTGCATGCACTTTGCTTTATTATTATTATTACTTAATTCATATTGTTACGGATTTCATAGTTATTTATTTAGTTAGTTTTTTTATTTAGAATTGTAATTAGATTTGCTTCATGTTGCCTTAGCAACGCAGACGATTTTTGAAAAGACAGCTGCGTTGGAAGGTTAAAAATAGAACAGCGCGTGCATTTAATAATACCTAATAAATAAATATCTCGTAATTGCTGTTGCCATCCACAAAAATCCAGATATTTTAGATGTTTCCAGTATATTCGAGAAATTAATTATAAAGCTTATAAAAGCCGAGAACAAACAACAACTCATCTCAGTAGTAGCTGTAGTTCTAGCGAACTGTTTGTTTACTTAATGCTGTTGATTGATTTGTAGCGATTTCGCTGTGAGATAGAATTAGTTTCTCTCTGTTTTGAATTGATTTTGCTAAACGTTTTGACATTTTGTGATATTGTTAGAATATTTTTGAAGAAATATTTCAGCATTTTGATTTATCTCTTGTGGAAAGAATAAATTTTTGTTAACTTTTTAACGTTAACCGTGTTTATTCCAGCCCTTTGTATTCAGTATGTCTATATCAAAACCCAAGTGGGTAGTAAAAAATTAAACGAAAAATCGCTGACGAACATAGAATATTCCAAGTAAAATGGGAATTAGAATATTTTTGCTGTGAAATAAAAGATAAAATAATCTGCTTGATATGTAATAATACTATTAATGTACCAAAGTTATATAATATTAAACGTCATTACGAACAACACAAATCGAAATATAACAATTACGAAGGATTAATGAGAGAAGAAAAGTTGAAAGAGCTCAAGTTAGGAGTGAAAAAGCAACAGTCCATGTTTAGTAAAGTATTGCAAGAAAGTGAAGCGGCGGTACATGCAAGCTACGTCTTGTCCGAGTTGATAGCTAAACATTCGAAGCCTTTTACTGATGGTGATTTCATCAAGGAATGCCTAATGAAAGCTGGAGAAAATGTTTGTCCTGGAAATGTGAAGGCTTTTCAATCAATTTCATTGTCTCGAAATACAGTTGCGGAAAGAGTTACTGATTTAGCCGCGAATTTAAGTGATCAGATCAAAGCAAAATCATCTAGTTTCGAAAGTTTCTCCATTGCCTGTGACGAGAGCACGGACATTAGTGGCAAAGCTCAATTAGCAGTGTTTCTTCGTTCTTGTGACAAGAATTTTAACATTTTTGAGGAATTACTGGAACTAATACCGATGCCTGGTACTACCACAGGAGAAGATATATTTACTTGTGTTTTTGGACTTCTGCAGAAATACAATCTACCTTTGGCAAAATTAAATTCTGTAGCTACAGATGGCGCTCCATCAATGACCGGGAAAAACAAGGGCTTCGTAGCATTACTAAGAAAAAAAACTTAGTGAAATTCACGGTTCAAACATTCATCATATGCATTGTATTATACATCAAGAAGTTCTATGCACGAAAGTAATAAATATGGAGAATGTTTTGTCATATATAAAAAAAGTTATAAATTTTATAAGATCTCGAGGTTTAAATCAGCGTCAATTCACTGCTTTCTTAAGTGAGTTAGATAGTGAATATTCGGGTTTGTCCTACTATACCGAGGTACGTTGGTTATCTTGCTCCAAGATTCTCAAACAATTCTGGGATTTGAAAGAAGAAATATTCAGTTTTAAAAACGAAAAATCAAGACGTAAGTTTGTTTTACGATCCAATATGGATACAAGATTTATCTTTCTTGGTTGATATAACCAAACACTTAACCGATTTAAATTTATCGTTACAAGGAAAAGATCATATCATTACGAACATGTTTGACATAATTAAAGCATTCAAATGTCAACTAGTTTCTTTGGGAAAAAACAACTTAAAAATGAAGATTTGACGCACTTCCGACGTGCAGCATGAACAAATCAAGTTTAGATGATACTTGTTCGTATCAAAAAATACGCAGAAAAAATTGCAAATTTAACAACTGAATTTGAAACGAGGTTTTAATGATTTTAGTTCCCTCGAAGACAATTTTTTTTTTTTTTTTTTTTTTTTTTTTGTTTTCTTCGATTTTCTCAATAAGTATTGACTCAGTACCCAGCCATATGCAAATGGAGGTGATCGAGATTCAATGCAACTCAAATTTGAAAGCAAAATTCATTGAAGTGGGCGTGCCTGAATTTTACAAATATTTACCAGCCAGGTTTGAAAATACTCGAAAATTCGCATATGAAATTATTTCCAATGTTTGGTAGCACTTATCGGTGCGAGCAGTTATTTTCAGTCATGAAAGGTAATAAGTCTCCTATTAGAAACCGTATTAATGATGCTCACCTTGGGTCAGCGTTGAAAGTTATCACTGCAACAAAAAAATTTCTCCCGAAATAGGAAAGATAATAGCAGAGAAGAGATGTCAAGTATCAGGACGTAAACATTAAATTTTTCTTGTTCTTTTCTATATATAAATATATATATATATGTTTATTATTGTATTATTCGAAATAAATCTACGTTTCTATGAATATTGATTTTTTTTTTTTGGCCCACCTAAAGTTAAACCTCGTTTGTTTGGCCCAAGTGTACCTATGAGTTTGACATCCCTGATTTAGAATGTTACTAATTATATTTTTTTAATTAAATGCTGGTGGCCATGATTAAATTCACATGTTAAAATGTTTGTCAAATTTCACAATTTAGTTATGTAATTTTTTAAGAATATTACTCCCTTTGTACAGAGAATAATTTAGAATTTTTTGTTTTTCTATGTTCTGTTTGGATTATGTATTGCATTACTGAAAACACTGTTATGTATGTTTTAGGATAAGGACATTAAAGGCTATTATGAATCAACTACCCGCACAATCTTCCTGCAGATGACAGGTATATCAGACACTGTATGTTTAGTAAACAAGTGTAAGGAAATGGAAGACGATCTAAAGATAAAAGTAAGAATTTAAAATTTCCCTCCCAGGTAATTTTTTAAACTTTATTAATAACTTAGTATTATTGTTTTCATTTAATAGTTTTTATTAGCTGTAGATAAAAGCCAGAAGTTGCTATCAATCAAGCCTAAAGTATTTTTGTATACCTTTCATACTATGAAAATATGTTTCTGATCCACATTAATTATTAAAGCCACATGAATTATTAAAAAAGCTCTAGTTCTTGAATGCACATCTACATGAAAAATTAAATTTAATGTAGTAATTTTTTATGTGTATTGACCCATTCCCCCTCACCAAATTTCAGAGCATTATCCTTTCTCCCAGTTTTATTATTGTTATTAAGTAGTAAATTCCAAATAATAGATAGAAATAAAAATTGAACTGTAATATAAAGGTTATGCTACTAATGTATTTATAAATTTAAAATTTATTATAGTTGATAAATAGTTAAAAAGTTTGACCAAATTATTATCCTGCTAGAGGACTCTATTTAATACAAGTAAATTAGCATCAACAAAAAGTACTGCTAGTTTATCTTCATCAAAAAACTGCAACATTCGGATTGTCTAAAGTAGATGTCTGATCACCTGAAATGTTCAGTCACAATGCATATCCCATAGCCACCTTATGTCTGTTTTCAATAGACTTCTCAAAGAAGTTTCCTGGGAAAATTGAGGCACAAATCTCATTAAGGATGTTGCCACACTCAGGAATATCATTAAATATTATTTATTCTTAGGTGTAGGAAAATTTGCAGTTGCTTGCACTTTGGCTGTGCCTGGTAAGAGGCTGTGTGATAAGTTTATGCAACCTAAATGTTTTAATTCTGATATTGCAGTTTGAATTTTCGGTTAATCTTTGAATTATGGTAAATTGGCGATTTTTTGGCGAAAATCTGGCGACCAACCCTGCTACAGCAACCTGCTAGTTTTTGTTTGGATGCCATTTGTTTTCACAAAGTAAAGGCATTTTTTTTAACTCAACTTTTTTTTTTTCTAACAATCGAGCCGAATTACGCTTATGCTAGAAACTTTTATGGACAAAAGTGCTAAGCATGCGAAGTAGGTGCAAAATTGGAAGAAAGGCAGAATCGCAAACTGTTGCCGCATTTTTAAGAATTGACATACACGTATCCATGTACAGTCGACCTCTTTCACTAAAAAAATCCCAGAATGCACAAAAAGGCATTACGCACACTCTTGACTTTATCCATGTACACTGCTAAAGTCCTAGCTAGTAACCTTTATCGCCTGACCAATATGTCTCCAAACTACCTGTTACCATATTCCAAAGATTAGCTGAATTTCCTCTTTGTTGAATTTCAACCTATTTTGTCAGACAATCTGAAAAACCACTTTTAACTTTTTACAGTGTCTCTTGAGTTACATTAGTATAATGATATTACCAAAATATGGATAAATATCAGAAATTATCAAAAAGGCTGTCCATTATCACTTGAAACATTTCATGTGTACTGCTGAGGCCAAACGTCAGGGCAGGGACATAGTATCCCCCAAAAGGAGTTGTAAAAGTGCACAAGTCAACATTTTCATTTTTGAAAATGATAGAAAGCATTTTTTGCATCAATCAAGGAGGGAAAAAAAATAGACCATTTCAGTTTTGACACCAGCTCATCCTCAGAAGGAATCTGATAATGCGGATGCTCCTAATAAATTTTTTAGGGAGATGAGGATCAAGTGATGGTGATGAAATTCTGATAGTATTGTTCTTTGACGGGAAATAGTGACAGTAAGGTTTATCCAATCAGTTGGCTTTGTAACCCTTTCTATGATTTCATGTTCATGTTTCAAACACATTGTTATAATTTTCAATTATGCAATGTAAGGTTGAAATAATTTCATAGACACTATTTATACAACATTTAGTTGACTGGTTAATTCATTGAATTAAATATAAATCAGTACATATTGTTACATTCAACACTGGCTGTACAACCAAACTCATAATAATACTCTTTATAGTTTGGTTCATTTGGTTGTGACAGAGCATTCCAGGGCTGTCTGCTTAAGGAATGTCTTCATGGAGGGCTTTCTAAGGAAAATTGGCTGATATCAACATTATACATACGGACAGTCAGTTTGCCTTTGAATCAAACTCAGGTTGAACTAACAATGTTCGATGACTTTATTGCTGAACAGCTGATGGGATAATTTATTAAGATGATTATTTTTATTTATATATTATTTAAGGATACATTTATCAACAACTGGCAAAGCATCATTATCATTATTGCACACAAATGCTTATTGATTTTGGATGAAGTAATGGCGTATCATTTAACTTTTGAAATGTGGAAAGCATATAAACATTATTCTCTGCACTAGTATCCAATCTGAAAGTAACGGAGTGTTCATTAATTTGTTGTAACCAATCACTTTTACTGAATATTAAAGAGTACCAATATAAGCAATCATGGAATGAATGGAATAAGTTGGTGGTGGTGTCTCAATGCTTGTTGTTCTCTAAGTTGCCTGCAAACATTTAAAAAATGATTTTGCATTCCCAGTTATTACATTTCTTTTGGTAAGTTGAGCAGTATTTTATTTGATGTCTTGAACCACAACACGAGCAAAATCTTTGAATATGTTGCGAATGAGAACTGTTTTGGCTCTGCTGTTTTAAAAATTTGTTATTGTGGCCTTTTTTATCCGTCTTGTGACTAACGACATCAACCTGCACCAGTATAGGTGTAGATGATAGACAAACATGGAAAGTTTGGCTGATTTGAAAATTTCCATAGTTCTCGATAAAGTAAGTTTCCGTAAGCAGATGCTTACAAAGTACGTTAAGCCTTGTGTCTCTTAAGCCTTGTATGATATAATCTTTTATGTTACAAATGTAAGTTACCCCAAATTTGTATTGTCGACCTTTAATTTGATTTCTGCAACAAGTGAATTAAGTTCTGTTCAGATTTTTAAGCTAAATTATTAAACACAAAAGTAACCAGTGTCACATTAAAATATGGCTTAAAATGTTTATCAAATTTGTCCAGTATTTCTTTCATTCTCTTTATATTTTAAGTTAAATACTCTCTTTTCTTTATCTTCTCTTTATATTTTAAAGCAATTTAAAGTTCATAACTTGATTCCTATTCTGATCATGCCTTTTGTGGAGATACTGCTGAAAGAAAATGATTCAGTCCATAGTATATTATGTCCATTGTCTATATTCACAAAATTATTGAAGTTATGCCATAATGAGATGCAACACATACCTATATCAACAACTATTGAAGTTTTTATAGCAAATAAAAAGGTAATGAGCTTGCTGACACCATATAAGATAAAGTTGTTAAACCTGCACAGTTGGAGCAGGCAGCAATATTGATACATAAGAATAAGAACACCAATTTATTGAGCAACATTTTACTAAATCTAAAATAAGCTAATGCATAGCAGCAACAACATGCTTGCAGGGAAAACACAAGAAGGGGAAATTGACAATTATAGTTAAAACTTATGAGGATTAAGATTAAAGTTATGCTCTTAAGAACTTTAAAGAGAGCAATCATAAAAATTCATCACAGTTATAGTAAAAACTTATTATAAGGATTAAGATTAAAATTAGATGAGAACTTTAAATATAGCAAACATAAAAATTCTTGTGAATATTGTTTAATTTGGGGAGGGAGGCAAACATATATTTAGAATATTGCTTTATTTGGTGCAGAATTATATATTGTTCTTGTAAAACATTATTCGCTCTTCATCCTACGATTATTGTTGATGTTCTTTTCTAGAATATTTGTGGTACTGAATTGCATTTTAGCTGAAAGTTTAACAAATATGTTAGGAAAAGGTGTTTATACGTAATTGAATATGTTCATGGCTGTGTACATATTAGCCATTTTTTAAGCAAAGAATGTTAATAATTTTTTTTTTTTAATTTTCGCTTTTTATAATGTTATGTGATTATTGCTTTATGTTCATTAGATATACATACCTAAATATATATATTAATTTTAGAGTTTTTTAGAAGTTTGGAGTGATCTTCACTATGGCTATGCTAAAACACTTTTGATGCTGTTTTGTATATCTCACATCATTATAGTGAGTAGTTTATTTTTATTATTTTTATAAATAAATGTATTTTTGGTGGTTTAAATCTTTTTCTCCTGATTTTTTAGTGATTTAAAAACTGAAAACTTATAATAGTGGTGATAAAATATCAAAGTAATAAATACCGTGTATTATAATGTTTTAAATATTTTTGATTCTTGTAGGTTGTGCATCCCAAAGCTTGTTTTGATCTGAGTTATGTGTATTTGTTCCGAGCATTAGATACAATGAGGTAAAATCCAGCTACTGATTTAGTTTTATCATTTTTGTTCTGGTTATGTTTTAAGTTTATCTAGCCATCTACTCTTAAACATCACACCAGTCATTTTTTTGTTATTTTGCTACTTTACTTGTCTTTTGAGAAGTTGTGCTATTGTTGCTAAGTGCACATGTTATTTACATTGCAAATATTAAGTTATGGCAAGTCAGTTTACAGGGACTGTCCAAAATAATAAAAACACCATGCTTAAAAAAGTCAATTTTGTTTTTATTAATTACACAGTAACTGGTAAAAAGAGGTGTATGATTATTTATGTACATTCTAAAAAGTCATATGAAACTGCAAATATCAACTATAATTTGTAAAACAATTTATTGTGAAAGGAAATGGGTGACTTAACTATGTTTCAAGGAACTCAGAATTGTTTTGTTGGCCAGCTCACTAGTGCATCTGTAACCTCAATTGTGATTTTTTTGTGGATTATTTGCATTCCTTTCCTGGAAAGTCTCCAACTCATTAGTGAAAAGCTTTTGCTTGGCTACCCTTATGGCACATAGGTACTGTTCTGTTCATATATAATAATTGTTGTTCAGAGCTTCATACAAACAGTAAAGAATCCATAAATTGTGAGACAAAAGACTTTAACGTAGTCATGCAAATTAATTAATGTATATTATTGTAATAATGTATATAATAATTTAATTACATGTATCTAATATGCTTTATTTATTTTTCACTTTTAGTCTGAATATTATGATTTATCTTTTCTGTCCTGAAATCCACAAAATCCTAAAATCTGGACAACCTTTCGTTCCTCCCCTCATTGCGGATTTCTGGACTTCTACCGTACGTGTCAGGACTCGTATGTCTCGTTTAGGGAACATGATGTGTCTTGAATAGGAACAGGGAGCTTACTCAAACTATGTTCAAGTATCTGTGGAATGGACGACACAAGCAGGAAGAGTTTACTTTACCCTTTATTCTCTATAAGATTACAGGTCTTCCCGCACTTCAGGATATAGAGACCAACCACTTGTGGTCTGAACGTAAGAATATAAAACTACTAACGTTAGCAAGTACAATTTGCATAAACAAGTTAATGCATTTAATTCTGGCCGGAAGTGGGAAAAATAAGAAAAGATAGTACAGTTTTAAAATAAAATACACTATAGTAAAACTTAAGATCCTTACATACTACCATTCAGAACTTGAATGCCTCTATTCCAAACCATTTCTAGCAGTTTTGGATTCTAGAGGTATTCCTACAGCATAGCAAGTGCATAATTCTTAATATTTCTGCTTCCATTATTTTGCATAACTATCTGCAAACAGCAGAAATTAGGGATCAGCACCAAATCTGCATTACCTAAATTACAAAAATGGGAGCTTCTTTTGTTTGTTAATTTTCTGTATATTTATTTTGACAGAATTGACTTAACTATCTGATTGCTGAGCTGCATTTAAGATTTCCTATATGTTTCTTTATCAGAATTTTGTTTAACATTAATTATGTGGTTAATTTTGAAGATGAGACAAAATCCAAAGAAAAGGTTCTTGTAAAAATCAAATCTAGAAGGATTATATATATGTGTGTGTTTCAAAAGTTAGTTCAAAATTCACAAAATAAAAAATGAAAACAATTTGAATAGTATATTATGTAGTAATCTATAATGTTAAAAACAAAAGTAAACAGTAATGGATTATTATTGTTTCTTATTCTTATTTTGGGAAAGGGAATCACATTTTTTTTATTATTATTTATTAATTCTGCTTGAAAAATCTTGAATTTGTATATGCTCTTCAGAACAGTGTGATCAATTGCTTTCAAGTGATTTATGTTTTTGAATTCATATTCAGTCTATGGGTCTTATGCAGTCTTAGGGTATTAAATTAAGATATCATTGAAATTTTCTTTGCTAATAAAAATGTGTAATGAAATTAAATCAAATTTGTAGTATAAATGTAAAATATAACTTTTTTATAAAACCGCATGTTAAGAATTATGTATGGGGCTGCTAGAATAAAATTGGTCTTTGTAATTGGAGCCATGTGCCCAATTTTAATTCACATGATATTAATTTTTATTTTATTTTTATAAGAATTATTTAAAATAAATTATTTATTTTAGATCAAAAGCAATTCCTTGGTTTCGAGAATTACTGACTGGAATTGACATATCTAATGACTGGATTCAAAATGGAAGACCGTGTTCCCCCAGAGTTCTGTTTGTTTTCGAGTCTTGTCCATTATTCCATACTTATGATAACAATGCCAATGCGGTGTTAGAAGGAGCTATTAGGTCTAAACCTAAGGTATATAAGTTTTATATGTGTCTGTATATATATAGAGAGAGAGAAAGAGAAATAAATATGGAGAGTATATAATATAATGCAAAATTATGAGATTTTTATTTACTTTGTGTTTGCCTTAGAAGCAAAAGAATGAAAAGATAATACCATTTAAAAAAGGGGGAGAAATAAAACCTTATATAAAATTCCAGTTTTACATAATGAAGAATTAATTCAGCACAGAATCGAAGCTTTGCAGCCTTTTACATGTCAACTGTGGAACTCGAGTTAAAAAGAATGCATGAATTTGAATTAAACATTGAAAAAGCAAATGGCTGAAGAAAACATTGGTCTTGGAAGATGTATTTTGCTACTTGTTGATTAGAAAGATGGGGGAAAAAATTATTGTGAAATAAAGAAGCTAACTTAAAATAGGAGCATTATTTGACCATTATCGTTAAAACTGCAGTTCAGCTGGGATTATGTTATTGATTGTTGGCAACATTTGAACATTATTGGTGACAGGTTTTTTCTCATTCAATCTTAACCCCTTCGAGCCGGGTAGCGAAAACGCGCGCTTATCGCTGAGGCCGGCAGTGTGTTACGCGAGCGTCTCTCCAGGGCCGGGGGCTTTTTTGCTACTTAAATCCATGAAATTTCCGAAGTATCAACGCATTGTTTAATAATGCTCTATAGAGTATTTAAACGGCTTATGCTTTATAGATATTTTTATATATATACTTTAATTACCTTATTTCTTGTTTAAATGCATATTTTACACATTTTATTTTAATTACTCACCATTTTATGAATTTTAACATTATACATCTGAAAACTAAATATATTACTTAAAATTCTCTTTTCGTATGAAAAATTTTGAAAACAGGGATCTACACACAGTCCTACGTTACATTCCTTGCACTCGTAATAACTCATTTGCCGTTTTGGAGGATTTTTCCGGGAATGTGAAAAAACGAAGCATCGTTGTCTCATTTTCTTATCAGTCTCTTCTGAACAAAGTTTTGGAAAATGTCTTTCAGTTAATCTTTCAGAATCAATATCAGAATTCAGAATCAATATCTGAAATATTTTGCATCATTTCTGCTATTTCATGCTCTGTTAAACATTTTTGACGCTTCGACATTGCAACGGAAAAAACAAAGAATTCACGTCTAACAAGATCTAATTATTCTTCTAAAAACTGAACTGCAAACGAAATACCAACACTTTAGAGCAAATAAAACTTCTCTACTTACAGTAAACAACTACCACGTGCGAATAAGTGCGATTTAAAGAGACGTCATAAATCACGCCATTCGGAAACATTTATTTCCCTGTTTGTTTATATAATCAAAAACACGTGTTGTGAGTCATGCTCTCTCATTTCGAGTAGAAAGTCTAATTTACATGCATCTGAAACCATATGGACATACAGTGCCATCTTGTGGCAGAAATTATAGTTTGAAAAACGTTCCAAAGTACTGGCACAAATACGTGACAGTTGGTAGAGAATGGAACAATCCTCTGGCACGCCTGCGTGTCGGACGGTAGGTAAGTGCATTCGTTGCTGGCACGTATACGTGACAGTTGCCGCGAAGGGGTTAAAGCAAGCTGCTATGTTTTATTGATTATTCCTTTTACAACTATTGTCTCCAAAATTTATTCAAATTTTACACATGTAACTAAAAGTAAAGCCTTTGTTATTTTAATCAAGCTAGTTTGCAACATTTAAAATTTCTAACATTTAAAGAGAAATAAAAATAATACTTTTCATTTTATTGGAGTAGTGAATTCCAAATTAACTTGAAATATTCTTATGAATGCAGCGGTGAAAATACAGTAATGTAATTTAGAACTGTAATGTAATTGAGCAGAAGAAGATAGCATATTTAATCAGGAAGTAATAAATCTGTATAGAGGATAGGGAAATTTGTATGTTCTAAAATTTTAAAACAAACTGCTTAAAACAGATATTTCAAAAATGTATTAATGAGTTGTATGCTTTTTATCTGTATTTATTTTTATTTAAATAATGTATATTTCTCTATTACAAATATTTTAAAAATAATTATGTATGTGTACTTAATACATAGTTCTCTACAGAGGCATAGCTAGGGTTTTCAGCGCCCGGGGACAACTGGAGATTTTGCACCCTTTCTGTTTGCCACGAATGGAAAACACTTTACTCTAAAATTTCGCACCATCAATTTGCCGCCCCCTGGATGCTGCGCCCGGGGACAGATGTCCCCCCTTGCCCCACCCTAGCTATGCCACTGGTTCTCTACAAAATATCAAAAAAATTGCTTAACAGCACATTGCTGATAAAAATTCTTGATTAAATGTTTTTGATGGTATATTTGCTGATAATTATTGTTTTAATGTTGTTACTTTTCAAGTTTATTCTAATCATTTTGTAGTTCAAGCTTTATTCTAAGCAGTGAAAGTTTTTTCAACTTATGTGTATATATTAAACAAAAAAATTTTTTTTTCATTCAAAGAAACAAAGTCCATTAAAAAAATTGGAGCATTCTCTTGAAGATCAGATTTACAGAATTTTAAGGAAAAGCCGAGTCATCACAAATGTCAGGTAACTTAAAAATGAGAATTGTTTTATGTTTGAAATTTGTAGTGTATGCTTCTAAAAATAGGAATTGAGACCCCTAAATAATGAGATTGCTTTTCATTGAAACTGCAATGTCAACAGATGTTTTTCATTGACATTGCAATGTCAACAGAGACATGAATCATAGTAAAAATATTTGTGGATGTGATGTCATATAAGGTAGAAATGATTGGAATTACAAATCTGCACATTAAAAGGAATATACTAAGCTCAGTACTTTATGTGCATACCTTCCATGATAATGAATTGCACACAGTAAGGTATTGACCAATAACATTCTGGAACATATGACAATGTCATTTAATGTAGATTCATTCTGTATGGACCACTATAATCGTGGTAACTGCAAATGCTGAAATACTGGCTAAATTTTGAGCAACTATATTCCACACATGCTTGTTGATAGACCAGTTAGGCAGCCACATATGCCAAGAAATAGTTGGTGCGTGGAGTTTAGAGAGAGAATGCCGGACATTAGCAAGTAGTAGTATTATCCTGTTTAAAGGTAGCTCTAGGAAGATTCCTTAGAGATGTAAAACTTACAGTTTCTAGACCCTACTAAATTATATATATATGCGATGTTTTAATTAATTGAAGATGAATACAAGAATGCATTGTGGTATCATCACAGACCAAGACACTCCTACTGGGAGCATTGTGATACTGTGCCATGTGTTCTTCCTGATGCCATTCTTTGCTGTAATGGTGAACAGAGATCTGACTATCCTAGATACTAATATTAAATGTGGATGGACTTGTTGAAAAAGACGAACTTGAGCCCGTTCAGCTTGTCTTTGCTTTTTGTATCTTTTAAATTACTGGTTATAGATAGATAATCAGCAGAAATTATTGTAGCAATTCTTTGCATACAGTGCTGGTTGATATAGCCTAATGTTATACTGTTCTTCATTGTTGTGATAATGTTGTCAAAACTGAGATGCAATCCACTGCCATGCGTGCTAACACTGTTTGTCTTCCCATTCTATTAAGCTCTAGATCAGCGGTTCTGAACCTTTTGACTAATGCATACCATCTAAACAAAAATTGAAACACTTTAGTACCACCACTACATTTTACAATGACTATTTTTCAATTCCTCGGTAGAAATATTTAAATATTTCTACTGTACAGAACACAAATTAAAAGTGGCAAATTAAGAATGTTTAAATGCAGCAAATGTATATATGTTTAAATGCAGCAAAAAATGTGTATAATTTAATAGGCCATACAAGGAAATCATGTGGTGCCCACATCAGTTTTTTTAATATTGCTTTTATCATTTAACTGCACAGTGTTTTATGTTTTGCAAATTTTTTTTTTTAAAGAAGTTAGAAATACGTTTTAATATAGATTAAGGCATAAAGGACAGTGTACTGTGAAAAAATATAGTTTTCTGTATCTGTATAATATAGTACTGAGATGTATTATAAATGTAATTTTAATTTTTTTCCAGTGGAAATTCTCTTTTTGCTGTTCCTGCAAATCAAGAATTTGTGTTTATATTTTCTTCGAAACCATATATTACTGATTTTGTTGGATTCTTTTTAACTCAGATACGAGCTCATTGTCAGATGGCAAAGGAATTAGGTATTTATTTCTGAGACTTGTATTGTTGTTATTATGCATTAGTTGTAAATGGTTAAATTAAATGTAGTAATTGTACTGAGTATTATAATTTTTATTCTTTATTACTAGAAAAAAAGCAGAAATAGTCTTGATATTTTGCTGGACACTTATCAAAAGTAGCTGCTAACATTAAACCACTGGGAAAATAAAATTCAAATGTATTTTTTTGGGGGGGGTTGTTCTTGTGACTCTATGATAAGGAAGTAAGTGGGCAAAAGTATTGTAAGAAAAAAGAGAAATAAATTAAACAATATTTTAAAGAACTTTTGTTAGCATAAAATAAAATTCATGTCACTGCATTTTCAAAATGAAAAAATATTTAAGCTTAACCAATAGTTAATGAATCTCCATATAATTAATGTAAAAATATTTCTTTGTCTCCAATATTATGAATCCATTTGAATGATCTCCTTTCCTTTTTCTAAGTTTTTTTTTTAATAAAATATTTCTGCATTTTTGTACAGTTTTTTTTGGGGGGGATTGCATAAGTTTGATATTTTATGCAAGTTTTTTTTTTTAAATATGCTGCTTACTAAGTTCTTGTAAAGAGTGTCTTATAATCGTGCTACTATCTAGTTTTAATACAAAATTTTAAACATTATTTAATTGATAATGATAAAATTCTTCATGGGTTAAGTAGCAAAATGATTGAAATAGAAATCCTGTCTTATATATCATTTTTATTTGAAACTAAAGGAAGACAACATATATAAAATAATTTTTAAATCCTCTTGATTCATATAAATAACATTTTAAACTAGCATTTCTCAGCTTGGATTTTTCTGGAACTCTAGTATTCCACAAGGAGTTGTTTCAGTTTCTCTGAGAAATGGTGATGTATAGATTAATATGTAAATATATTTTTGAGACATTTTTGCAATTAATTTCATATTTGTAATTTTAGTATGCATGTTCAGCATTTTCTCTTCATATTTGTTATTTATAGCATTGATTATCCATAATTATTTTTTATGAGTAAAAAACCAGAAGAGGGAGTTTGATCTCAGTTTATGCTCTCTTCTCTTCATATTATTAATAAACTTGAAAAAAATTGCCTTCTGGGGGTGAAAAGTTAAACCTGTTATCAGAAAAAATATGCTCTGTTTTCCTTATAAATGTTATAAAGCAGGGAGAAAATACGAGGGCCATCCAGGAAGTAGATTACGTTTCCGTCTGTGTCCGCTAGGGGCGGGGCTAGCGCGGCCATCTTGGGGTCAGAGCGTTGCGCAGCTCAGTCTGCATCTAGCCGTGCTAGTGAGAGGTTCGTGCTGTGCTCCGTTCAGATACTGTGACGGTTTGAAATGTCTGCGTTAATTGAAAATCCCACGAGCTGCGAGGTGCGCTCAGTAATAAGGTTTCTGACTGCAAAAAACTGTAAACCGATAGAAATCTATCGGCAGCTGCTTCGTGAAGTGTATGGGGACAACATTATCACTGAAGGTGGAGTGCGTCAGTGGGTCATAAGATTTCAAAATGGCCGAAACCAATGTTCACGACGAAGATCGAAGTGGGAGACCCAGCATAGTGACCGCCGAACTTCTCGAAAAAGTCGATGCTAAAGTCCGTTGAAAATCGAAATTTCACAATAACGGAACTTTCTTTGAGTTTTTCCACAAATTTCGCGAAGTTTGTTGCACGAAATCATCAGCGAAAAGCTTGGTTACCACAAGTTTTGTGCAAGATGGAAGGCAAGAAGAGGTAACGAAGTGGTTGAAGGCGCAGGCGGCCGAATTTTTTCGACGAAGGAATTTCCAAGCTCGTACATCGCTACGATAAATGCCTTAATTTGTATTGGTGACTATGTAGAAAAGTAGTATTTTAGCCATGGCTTTCATCTGATATATATAATAAAATTTTTTTCCTTGTACTTTAGTTTATTTTTAATTCCAAAATGTAATCCTTACTTTCTGGATAGCCCTCGTATTCATAATTATAAATAATGCTTCTTATGTAGAAATTATCTAAACATGTATATTACTTCAATAAATTAAAGCTGAAAAATTTGTTTAAGAATGGATTAAATATCTATAATGGAAGTCTAAAAGATGCTATATGATGATTTTCAAAACTCCTGTCCTTAATTTCCCTTCTTTAAGCTCTTTCCTATTATATTTCATTGTTGAAATATTACTACAATGATTTCTGATTTCTTTTTATAAATCCTGTTAGAACCATCATATTTTAAATGCTTTTCTGCCTCACATCAATTTGAAAAAGCTCTCTTCAAAATAATCAAACCTTTAATAACAAAATTTGCTACAGAATAAATGTTTTCAGGAAAAAAGGCTCAAATTCATACTTAACTAGAATTCAATTTAAGATGGAGAAGGTAAATTTACAGCTAATTTCATATTAAGTAAAAATAAATAAATATAGCATGAAAGGAATGTTTTTATGTGGCTTATGCTGGCAGTATAATTTCTGTAGGGCTTTTAAAATGATGAACATGAGAAATCACTGAATACTAATATATATATACGTAAAGGCAACAGTGTCTCTCTCTCTCTCTATATATATATATGAAATGTAGAATCTCATACATTATTTGTGCTGTGCAGCCGGGGCAACAGGAATGAGACAAATTTTGGAATATAAAGTGATACGTTTATTTTAGCATCTGTCTCAGAAGCGTTCCCTCCTGTACCTTGAGGAGGAGCCCTATTTATAGATATGTGTGCGTCATGGGGCTCATCCAATCAGCGATATTAATTGAAATCACGAAGTGACACTATCTTCTCATCAGGAGTGTTCTTAAGGACTTTATGTAATATGACAAATTTATGAGTTTGGTGATTTGGCGAGCGCCAACAGGTTAATATAATTTATAATAAAGAAAGGATTTCGCCAAAATTTAGGAACTGGGAGGCAATTTAGGTAGAGAATTGTCAACACATTATTAAGCAATATGATTAGAATTTAATTTAATCAATTGATTTAAAAATATCTTTACATATCAAATGCCAGTTAAGTTAGATTGACAGTAATGTATCTTGACAACTGAGAGAACAGTACCAACGTAATTCTCTAATAACGATGCAAAAAATAAAATTCATAGTCATATAGTTCAAATTCATAGTCATATATAGTGTGATGCAATATGGAACCCACATAAAAGATTTTCATAGAAAAATAAACTAACTCTCTCTCATTATATCAGCAACAATGGCCACAGTTTTTAATGATTTTCGTCTTTCAAATGAAATGGTCGTAAAAGCTCAAGTTCCGTCCATTTTTTCACTTATATTCAAATTTAGTCGATTAAATGAGGCAAAAAATTTATCATAATTCATCAGAAATCAATAACATGAACAAACAAACACACAAACAGACATTCTTCCTTATATTTATATAGATTTTAAAAAACTTACAAATTTTTTATTAATAAACTCTGCAATTTGAAAGTGAACAGCAGCAACACTTTTCAAAGTAAACATTTTTATATCCAATGCTCAAGACTGTTGCCACTGGGGAAAATGAGTACCAAATTTATCATTTTCAGAGTTTTAATTGGTTTATTTATTTATTTATTTATTTATTTTTAAGAAAAGTGGACGTCGACTTTTTCCTGGACCCAAAAGAATTTTAGAAAGTTTGGTGGCGATAGCTATAGTAATTACTGAGTTAATCACGAACAAACACACAGACATTCTTCTTTATGTATATATACTTTTCATATTTCTTGACTCATTGAAAGTATTTTTATTTTATACAAGTGAAGCTCTAAGGCAGTTAATGCTCATAAAACTGGATGAAGATGGGATCATAAAATCTCACATTTGCAAAACTGAAAAAATGTATATATATAATTTAACAAATATTCTCTCATTCGTATAAAGCTAATTTAAATTTTAAACATGAAAATTTAATTGTATGCAAATAAAAGACTAATTATTGCTGCAAACTAATTTGCAATATCATTTAAATTCAGAGAGCATTAAAAAGATCTGTCTCCAGCCTGCTCAACAATTATTCATTTCTGCTCAACAAAAATTCTTAAAATTTTTTAGGATTAATTTTTTTAATTATTAAATATTTTTTCATGATTTTAGATACTAGCACTTAATTTACATATGCTCTCTGAATTTAAATGATATTGCAAATTAGTTTGCAGCAAAAATTAATCTTTTATTTGTATACAATTAAATTTTCATATTTAAAATTTAAATTTAAATTGGTTTTATACAAATGAGAGAATATTTATTAAATTCAAATTTCATTCTTTGCAGCAATGGTGCTAGAGAATTATTTAAATTAAATTTAACTTTACTCTTTGTTCTTACGAAACTATTATATATATATATACTAGTCTCCGTCTGGTTTTTAAATGTATCAGGAAAATACCTAAAGGGAACACCAAACATTAAATTTAAAAACTGCACAGAATTTTACTCAGGACAATTTTAAAAAAAAAAAAAAAAAAAAAAAAAAAAAACCACTAATATAAAAATTTATTATATATATAAAAAAATACAATGAAATAAGCAATATCCCTTAACCTTTTAACTGTTATGCCCGAAATAATCTCGGGCACAGCACTGGTATTCCAAAATGTCACGCCCGAATATTACTCAGGCTAATTTTTTTTCGAGTGCATCGTATTGTTATACCCAAATACATATCGGAGAAGTTTATTTCGGCTTCAGTTCAACAGATGCATTTTGCTGAAGGTTTCAAAGGATAGAGGTTAAAGTTCAAAGTGCGTGGCATTTTTTTTATTTTTTGACTGCGAGGCAAACATTTCATTTTTGAAATTTAAAAAAAAAAATTGACAATTTATGCACCCAAATCATCAAAATAACTTGACAGTTAAAAGGTTAATACAAATATTAATTATCTTAATAAATAAATTAACCAACTTCACGTTGCAAAATCTTAAGAATTCGAATGGTATAAAGGAAGTTAAGAATTTTGTTTCTTAAAAAAAAAAATCATGCAAAACTTTTTGTATAATTAAAATGACATATAATTAAAACATAATATAAAAAATTACAATGAAATAAGCAATAAATCTCATATTTTCAAGAGAAAACAGTAAACAGTCCAGTATCCAAAGCAATGAATGAAAAACTGTTGCCAAAACCACATTTCTAAAAGAATGAAACTATCATCAGAAAGCAATAACCAATCAAAATTAGGCTTTGTGGCTGACATAATTCAATATATACAAACCTCTTTGCCATTAGCTAATAAAGAGAGAAAGGGGGAAAAGGAAATTCTTTCTGTTGTGCCTGGTGAGACACATGCACGCCAGAATAAGAAGATTGCAAAGTGCGTGTTGCGTGTCCAAAAATTAAAAGAAAATAAGCAGCATTTTATTGATATTCTCAACAGTCAGCAGTCCAGTATACAAAGCATTGAATGAAAAACTGTTGCCAAAACCACATTTTAAAGACACACACATTCAGAGAGACTCCTCCATTTATTATATGTAGAGACACAGACATGTGTATAGTTAAAAAGGTCATCAGAACCTTTTTTAGAATATTTTATGTTATGAACTGAATCTTATTTAGGTATATTAAGTTAAAAAATATAGCAAGCATATAATTTAATATAGTATAAGCTATTATTGTATCTTTTGGGAAAATATCAGGTTTGTAAAAATAATGTTTTGTATTCTGCAGATCTTACAGAAAACAAACAGAGAAGTCAGACTACTTCTCTAGGAAACAGTACTTTTCATTCCTCTGAAAACACTTTTGCTGAACGCATGCCTTTTGGAAGTGATAATACTGATCACAGCTTTTCAAAATTTTTGTTTCAGCACATTAATTTAGCTTTAACAAAAGGATTTGATGATAATGTTGGTCGTTATCCGGTGCCTGCCTATTTTGAGGTTTGTATATCATCATATTCTCTTAAGTTTTTAAAAGTACCGTTATTCAAACTTTCTACTGTAAATTTTAATTTTATATTAAAGGCAAACTATCTGTAAAACCTTATGGTGTTAACTAGGAACATGGTGTCTTTTTTAAGTCCTTTAAAAAAGCAAGCTATTTAAACTGTGTCTGTCTCAAACAATGATAAATGTTTGTTTCTGTAATTTAAATGTAAGTTTTATGATTATTTTTTCTCTTATTTTTATTCATGTACTAATGGTTATGCATGCCTTTTAACTTTAGTTAATTTTTGTAATGTTAAACTAGGAAGTAAAGATCAGTACCACCTTTGCAGGTACAAAATTACCTTCGTTCAAGTTTGTATTTAAGGATACCCATAAGTAATCTGTAAATTAAATTAACTTCACAATACTACTATTTATTTAGTATATTAAATGCATGATACAGGGGTTGGACAAAAATATGAAAACACCTTTAAAAAAACATGTTTCTTTGCTTAATATGGTGTAGGAAAAACCGTTGGCATCCAAAACAACTTGCAGTCTTCTCGGAATTGATAAATACAGTTCCTGTATGTTTGCCAAGGGAATGTTATACCATTCTTCCTGCAAAACGGTGGCAAGTTCAGATAACGATGTTGGCGGTGGATAACGAGAACGCACTTTCCGTTCCAATGTAGACCACAAAGGTTCGATAATATTCAGGTCTGGTGACTGTGGTGGCCAGGGGAGATGGGACAACTCATCCTCGTGCTCAGAAAACCAGTCCTGGACAATGTGAGCTGTGTGAACAGGGGCTTTGTCGTCTTGGAAGACACCATCACCATCGGGGAACAAAGTTTGTACCATGGGATGAACTTGATCGGCCAAAATGTTCACATAAGTCTTGGCAGTCATGTGCCCTGACACAGTTATCATGGGGCTAGCAGAGAACCACGATATGGCTGCCCAAACCATAACAGAACCCCCGCCATGTTTCACTCTTGGCAACAAGCAGTCTGTATTATAGGCTTGAGATGGCGTTCTCCAGACGTAAACTCGGCCAGAAGTGGGGAAACAATGTGAAAGAAGACTCGTCAGACCATATTACTCGCTTCCACTGCTCTATAGTCCAGGCTTTATGACTTAAACACCACCTTTTCCTGTTACGGGCATTAGCATCACTGATGAGTGGCTTCTCAATTGCAGCACGGCCAGCAATTCCCTGTTTATGAAGCTCCCTTCTAATTGTTTTGGTACTCACAGGGTTCGGTAACACAACATTTCATTTCAGCAGTAACTTTTGCAGCTGTGGTCTTCTTATTTTTCGTCACAATTGCCCTTTAATGATCGTCTGTCCATTGATGGGTTCCACATCAATGGACGGAAATGCAGAAATGGCATGGCTACGATACGATGCTGCCCCAACCCACCCATGAGTGCGAAGGAGATGCTTTTTTACGCCCTATCATTTCGCTGGATGAGACTTGGGCCCGATCGTACCAGCCAGAACTGAAACGCCAATCAAATGAATGGCGTCATCACGGGTCACCACGACGTTCGAAATTTCGTCAGAACCCCAGCAATGTGAAAGTTATGGTGATTCTCGTGTACGACTGTGATGTTGTCATCCTAACGCATACCGTTCCCCCACAGCATACCGTCACTGCGCAGTATTACTGCTCATTTTTGGAGCACTATCTCCGACCAGCTTTGAGGAAAAAACGGCGACACTTTCTGCAGAACGCTCCTCTCATTTTGCATGACAATGCTCGGCCGCATGCAGCGCAAGCTGTGACTGATTTGTTCAAGCGATGGGGGCTGGGAAGTACTTTACCATCCACCATACTCCCTAGTTCTATGCTCTTATGACTATGACTTAATTCCTAAGATGAAGGAACCACTTCGTGGCACTTGCTTCCAAACTGTTCCTGAGATTCTTGCGGCAGTAGACTGGTCCATTCAAACTTTCAACAAAACAGGTGCTGCTACAGGTATTCTGCGACTTCCACATCGTTGAAAACGGGTTGTACACAATGCTGGCGACTATATTGAAGGACTGTAAAACATGGTGACATGAATCACTTTTGTATTCCTTGTAAATAAATAGTTGCCACTATTAAAGTTCCAACCCTCATATAATTTTTATTCACTAACTCGGTAGTCAAAAACTCATCTTCTGTTATTTTAATAAATTGGATTCCGAAGATAAAACTGTTGCCAGAAATGATGATGTAATAATATGCAAAGTAAACATTTATAATTATTAAAATATCTGTGAGTTATTTTCAAACTAGTTATATACATTTTATGCTGTTACACAGATAATGATGCACAGTGCTGTGGCAATATTTAGAAATGTATGAGTTATTTTATTTTCATATATATAGTTTAAGCCATGTGAGGTGACATATAATTTATTTAAACAAAAATTTTTGTCTAATTCTTCAAATAAGGTTTCTCTCAACTATTATAATTTTATTGTTAAACTGTAGCTACAAATCTTTGTTTGTTTCATTAAATCTGTGCAAAGGTTTAAAATCCTCATCCTGTTCTGTCAGTTTGTTTATGCTGTGAGCATGTTTAAAATCCTTATTGTGTTGTAACAAATGAGCAAATCTCTTTGTAGTTGACAATAAAGTAGCATCTAAAATTATGGGGAAAAAACTGGGTTTTAAAATTTTATTTAGCATTATTTGTAGATATATCTGATATTTCATATCCTAACTGTTACTTTTGGGGGGGGGGCTGAATTATTCGGAAAACAAGATTGATGTCGAATTCATTTGCTGTTTTCTTTTGCAGAATTAATAATGTTTTTAAAATGTCCTTTTCATCTTCAAAGTTCTTCATAATATGATCTAGATTTTCTGTCGTACTTTATGCATGTTAAATGTTGAATTCTGCATCATATTACTTAAAATATTTGCAATATTTAATATATTGTAAAGTAAAAAGTCCAAGATCCAAACTTGCTGGGACTTCATCGATTCCGGATTTGAGATTTTTCTGGATGTTAGATTTTCAGTTTAAATATAATAAGATGACATTCAAAAAAAATATGGAATGGATATTTATGAAATATTAAAACATTTATGAATTTACAAGAATTAAAATTTACAAAAAAAAAAAAAAAGCCCAATATCTATTTGTTTACTTTATTAAGCATTTCTTTGAATGTTTGGTTTTTAAGTTGCTTTATTTTTTGTGCTGATACTTTCTCTTTAATTTTATAGGTAGACTTAATTTCTTGTTCATTTACAAAGTTTCAGTGTTAAGTGCTGTAACTACTGCGTCGAGAATTCGCACTAAATTGTCGGTCAAAATTTTTTCACTCTTAGCAACCTCTCTGTCACTTTCTTCAATATTGGTAGCAATATTTTATGGATTTAGAACCATTCTACAGGTTTTGTTGTCCTTTCGTTGATTGATGTTTGGTGCATTCTCATTTCACTGAAGAAATGTCATTTTATCTTTATATATCAGCTATTTGTTATATAATTTTCATTTATTACCACATCTCCACGTTTTTTGCACAAATTTAATTAAATTGGAAGACTACTTTGAAACAATTACTGTGGTTTAATTTTATTCTGTCTTATTTTTATAGTATCAGTATATCAGAATTAATTTCAATTTGCACATATATCCCCACGATATTTAGGTATCAGTAAACAATGCTTGTTAGTTTTTACAATTATAACTGAACAATAACTGCTGTGTGTTCCAGGATTAGTAAGAAGTAAATCTATAGGTATTTTTGAATTTGCTATCTGCTCTTGTTCCTCATCATCATCAACAGTGCAGGAGAATAAGAAGTGCATTTTTTAATAAAATGCCTTCCTTAAAAGAGTTTTTAGTTTTGCAACTGGAAAACTGTTGTAAAAATTATTTTTTTTCTATTGCTGGACATAAATATATATCCTAGTTAGATATAATAAAAATGAGTACTGTATTGTTTTAGATGAAATTTTTACTATAGTGATTCTATATTGTTCCACAAAAATCTATTAAGATTTCCAAGTACCTCTTCTGATTTATAATATGTATACAAAATCTAGCATATTTTTATGATTGCATATGCATAAAAAATTTTTAGATTATATGATAATATATTTTTTTCATGAAAATCTGTTCAGAGCTCTAAATAAAGTATCACTTCCATTTTATCAATTTTAGCTGAAATATAATATGTGATCCCTAAACATATTAGATACAACATCACATAATATAGTACAAAGTCTGAGATCTGGATGTCTAATATCTGGAATGATCTAAAATCTGTACCTCAAAGCCACAACAACTTTTTTTTGTATACTTTATGCATGCACATTTGTTTAGCCCCCCTTGCGCATAAGAAAACACATGAAGAGTACTCATTCTTAATTTCTCTTCGGCATTAAATAAAATACCTCGTTACTGAAGAAACAATCTTTTCAGCATTAATTTGTATGATGGATAATTTAGCTCCATTGCTGTGCATCTGCTTGGCATACATCTCAAACCAAAACATTCTACAAGATAACATCATTGATTTTACACCGACTTATATTTTATAATCCCCAACGCCAATCTAGCGAATCATTATTTATTATATTTTGCTTTTATCACTGCATGTTTATCAACATATGACAACTTGAGTAATACATCCATCTTCTGTTATTTTAATAAATTGCAAGAAGCGATGTGTGTAGCGATGCTTAACAATTTTTCATGTTAGTACTTGAATAATAAAGAATATAGTAACCTTTTATGTTGATATTACGCTTAGCGATGAATACAGATTTAGATAAATGCTCTAAGAAATGTTGATGAGGAAAAATTTAACAAAAATTTCTTTCCATATGCTAAAAATAGATTTTCTGAATGATACTCATAGGCCAAAAGATTACATTTGGTGCTATTTGAATTAAGAATAACTGATTTGTTATTCACATAAACCCAGAGCCAGCGCCAGGGCTCATATGGCCACACCAGGTGGCAGAATTTAGGGAAGGCGCTTGGTAGCAGCATTTAGGACTCACAGAGACTGCATCAGGCTGTAAGATATCTAGAGTCGGCCCTCAATGAGCTTTAAATATATTTGGGAATTTATTTATTCAGGACTCAGTTAAGCCTTAAGCATTTGCAAGAAATAGACATAAGTGTAATAAATAACTAATACAGTTCAGGCTTAATTGTTTCAATGCACGATAGAGGCAAGATAAAATTTAGCGGAACAACTTGTCTTTAGTCACCAATCTCATTATACATAGCCAAATATGTATAGTGAACGAGATAGCTAACTTTTATGATGATAGCTGTGAATTTAAAAAATTTTTGGATATCGCAAATCAAAGGGGGAATTTGCAGTTAAGGGATTTTGTAAAGAAATGTTTAGAAGTGGTAATAAAATGAATATGATATAAAAGAAGTTTTTCTTTGTGATAATAATGCTCCTCAATCATCAGTCAATTAATGGATGGCAAAATCTGTAGTATGGCTTTGATCCAGAAAATACCACTACGAATAGTAAAGAAAGTGACAAAGAGGTTACTGAAAACAAAAAAAAAAAAACAAAACAAAAACAAAAAAAAATTCGATTTACAAGTTAGTCGGAATTATCTACACAGCAGTTATAGGAACAATGTAACTGAACAAGAAATGATGTGTCTACAGAATTAAAGAAAATATATTAGCAGAAAGAAAAAAAAAAAAAAAAAAAAGCGACTTAAACAACTTATATTGAAAGAAATGTTTAATAAAGTAAACAAATAAATATTAAGCTTTTTTTTTTTTTTTTGCAAATTTTGATGCCCTTTAATCATAGATGTTCATTCTTTCATAAACACTGATTTCATATTTTTAATTTTATAATTTCTGCATGCCATCTTACTAGATTTAAGCTGATGATCTAATATCCAGAAAAATCCCAAATCTGGAATCGCCAAAGTCCCGACGAGTCCAAATCTCGGACTTTGTACTGTATACAAAAAATGTAAATTTTTGGAAGTTTGATATAAGAGTTATCTTGGACAAAACAACTGTCATACACAGCCAGGCAGACATTGTACTAATAGTAAAAAAAATATGGTCCTGATTTGTGCTTATTTGCTGAAAACTCTCCATTGAGTTTTTGGGCTGAAAATACAGGGGTTGGACAAAAATGGGGAATGGCTGAAATAAAAGCATATTGCTGTGATAAATACAATGTAGGAAAATCTTTGGTATTCAAAACAGCTTGCAGTCTTCTCTGAATGACGAAACAGTGGTCTTGTGTGCTTTGCTAGGGAATCTTGTACCATTCTTCTTGTAAAATATTGTGAATTTCAGTTAACGATGATGATGATGCAGATTTCTGTCTAAAATAGCCAATAAATTCTCAATAATATTGATATCTAGTGACTGTGGTAGCTAAGCTAGATGTGAAAGTTCACCCTCATGCTCAGAAAATTATTCGTGGATGAGAGCTGAGTGAACAGGAGCTCTGTTGTCTTGGAATACAGCATCGCCTTTGGGGAACAGAATTTGTACAATGATATGAACGTGATCAGCCAAAATTGCACATAATCCTTTGCAATAATGTGACATTGCACAGTAATGATAGGCCCCATGGTATAGCTGTCCAAACCATGAATGAACCCCCGCCATATTTCACTTTCGGCAGCAAGTGTCTCTCATAGGCTTGGAATGGCATTCGCCAAACGTAAACTTGCCGAGAAGTTGGAAACAATGGACAACAAAACTTATCTCACCAAATGACAGTCTTCCATTGCTCTACAGTTCAGGTTTTATGACTTTGGCACCACTTTCTCTCCTTAAGAGCATTTTGATCACTGATGAGTGACTTTTGAATTGCAGCTTGCCCAAAAATACCCTTCGTATTGTTTTGGTGCTCGTAGGGTTTGCAAATACAGTACAGTCTTTAATCTGGACTCGTCGGGACTTCGGCGATTCTGGATTAGGGTTTTACCAGATTATAGATCATCAATTTAAATCTGGTAAGATGGCATGCAGAAATTATAAAATTAAAAATATGAAACCGTAATTTATGAAATAAAGAACAATTATGATCTAAAGGGTATCAAAATTTACAAAAAAAAGCTTAATATTTATTTGTTTACTTTATTAAACATTTCTTTCAATGCAGTGTTTAAGTTGCTCGTTTTTTGGCTAATACTTTCTCTTTAATTCTTAAACAGACATAATTCTTGTTCAGCGCCACTGTTCAAGTCCTGTAATTGCTGTATCGAGAATACCGACTAACTGGTCAATCGAAATTTTTTCGTTTTCAATAACCTCTCTGTCACTTTCTTCACTATCAGAAGCAGTACATCAAAACATGCTTTCGCTTTGTAGATCCTTTGGCAGCTCCAGAATCAAAACTCTTTTTGACATAATCGAAAGTTCAAGCTTACTTTTTATAAAATTGCTCTAACAGTCTGCAAAAAATAATAAGCCGGATGCAATTAGAAGATTAAGGAACAACACAATATGCAACATTAAATTAAATAGATAATTAGATAATTTTATCCTAGCTTATACCGTCCGTTATAAATTAAATGCACATGCGTAAATGTATCATGTGCATGTGTAAATGCATTATGCGTGTACGCATGCGCAGAAAGTTTGTAGCTTTGAGGTTCGGATTAATGATTTTGTACTGTGTGACATTCAGTTCAGCTGTAATTTCTGTGTGTGACATTTAGTTGTGGCTGTAGCCCTCTTTATTTTTCATCACAATCCTCTTCAATAATCATCTGCCATGGTCACTCGACATACATTTTCGTTCGCGCTTTGACGGTTTTTCTGTACGAGTTAAAAATCTTAGATACTGTGCCTCTTGAAATACTAAACATTTCAGCTATCTTGGTTATGGAAGCACCAACAATTTGCACACATTCAAATTCATTCAGCTTTGATAGGATGCACTCACAATTGCACAGAACACTGTCTCAATAACGAATGACACGTGTAACGTGTTGAGGGTGTTATACAGATCACATTAGCGAGCAAACACATAAGTGACACCAACAGCTTTTGCAAGAAAAATTTTAGTTCAAACATGCATTTTAGCAAGTGTTTCCATATTTTTGCCAAACTCCTGTAATATGTCCTTTACCTATACATATAGTTGATGAAAGTTACGGTATATGGCATACGTTAATAAATATGGCCTTCTTCATCAGAGTTTGTTATTCTCATGGCCATGATGAAAGAAAATTGAGGATAGTATTGTATTGTATTTAAATAATTTTTATCTTAACAAGGGTGTTGCTTGTATATGTTACCGTGAAAGACCGAAATTGGAGAATGTCGACTTTCACCAGAGAATGTCAACATTCACCAAATATGTCGGTGAAAGATCGAATATTTCTTTACATTCTTGTACATTCGGACCCTTACCAGTGTATGTCGACAATCGCAAATATGCTCTGGTGTAGGTCGAAAAGAGAGGAGTATATGTACACACTGCCATTCTAAAAGGAAGTGTTCCACAAATAAATGCAGTTGTAAAAGCAAGGGCCTCTTGTGCAATTCAAAGTGTCATAATAGTTTAAGTTGTTGCAATAAATAAGATTTAAATCACATAATTTGGTAAGTTTATGACTTCTATTATTTTCCTTTCTCATTTTGAATATACTGTGTGTTTTAAATTCTTATGTTCTTAAGTTTATTCTGAGTCTCAAGTGTGTTTTTTCGTGAATGAATTACGGAGAAGGAAATATAATATTCTTATATGTTCAACATTCACCATTAGTGCATGGTGAATGTCGACATTCACCGGTGTAAGTCAGAAATAAGAGTATTTGGAAAATATTTCGGACATACACCAAGCAACTATGTGAATGTTGACATTCACCAGATTTCGGTGTTTCACCGTAACATATATAATATGAAAATTTAATTTATTAAATTATTTATGTATTATCTCTTCTTTTAATTACAAAACTCTAAAATACCTGATTTTCAATATGATTTATTAAATTTTTTTTTCAGCTGGCTTCTGCTCACACTTGGTTTACAATTGCTTGCAACATTTTAACTGCAATGCAGAGTGAGCCAAAGGATGCTAAAAGTAGATCCTTTCATCAAACAATTAAAGCTGCTTTGGATACTGATGTTAAATTTTCAGAAGGGTACAAATCTCACTTATTTGTGTCTCTTTTGATTCAAATAAAATATCTGTAATTTTTGTAAATACATTGAAGTGTTTCAATATCTGTAACGTTTTTACTAAAATACATTTTAAAATTATGATACTTATACAGTTTTAAGATTTGAACTGTAATTGTTTTTTTAATCTTTGTTGTTATTTTTATTTTTGAAAAGTTTTCTATCAAATTTTAATGAGTAAAATTTTAAGAATTAGCTGGAAATTAACTGTTATTATTATTTGATTAGTGCATCTGGTTTTCTTTTGAAAATTTTTAAATCTTCTGTTGGGACTGCTGTGCTAGTTGCTCTTATTAAATAATGTGTTATGATCAGTATGCCAGTTGTCCTAGAGTCCTGGGAATATATGCTGTGCTAAATTGCTACAGTAATTTGAAATGCTGCTTAGTTTGCATCAAGCACTGAATCAAAACTAAGATTTAAAAAGGTAGATTTTTCTGCCATATCAGTGTGGGTTGTATATTTCTAATTATTTTTACAAATATTCTTAAATATTGCAAATTCTTACAGGTCTCATTGAATATTTTAGGTAAAGGCACTGTAAACTGCCATTTAGGCAAGGTCAGTGTAAACTGTACTGTGGAGAGCAGAGGGCATAATTTAACTATATAAAAAAGTTAATTTGACACTCATATGTTATCAAAATTCCATCTGTATTTCTTCATAAGTAACATCTATTTTAAATCATTATCTCTGATACTCATTAATCACTTTTTAAAAATTAGTTTTTATATTTTAATATTATAATGGTAAAATAATGTTTTTCCAAGAGTATGTGACATCCAGTTTATATTTTATTAACAATTTTCATTTTAAAAATAGCATTTGTAGTTGAATATGTATTAAAAGCCATTAGATACTCCCTGAAAAATAAATTGTTACTAGACCTTTTAGATAAATATATATAAATCTCTAGAAAGTCTCTGCAAAGTATTTAAAACAATTCTTGCCAAAGGAAGTTAGATATTTTAATGTTTAGAAAATACTTTGATACCATCAGAACTGCTTTGTATAATTAATAAAAGTGTGCAAAAAAAATTTTTATTATTATTTTTTTATTATCGCCCTGTATAGTTAAAGAAATTAAATAATGAAGCATGAATGGGTGTTTCTTGCATTATGATAAAACAATGGTACCTAGAACCATCAAAATTTGAATAACATAGACTATGGGCATGTGGAAGCCCTAATTCGAATTCAAAATTTGTCGTATTATCGATTTCATATTTTGTAACACTTCAATTTTTGATTAACAAATTAAACTATTTCAAAGTGAGCAATAGCAACACTGTACTGAAGGAAAAAAAAAAATTTTATTTCCAATGCACGAGACTTTGTATTGTAAATTCGAAAGATATGCTCATTTTAAAATTATTTTGCTATATTGCTGTTGAACTGAATTTTATGGTTTAAGTGCAAAGAACATGATATTTAATAAATGAAGGTAACACACAAAATGTTAAAAAAATAATTAAAAAAACCCTTTGGACATAAATTAAAATCTGAAACATTTCAGATTTTATTTACAACATTTTTTATTGCCTTTTGAGGTACTTTTATTTAACCCTCTGGCAGTTTCAAGATTAAGCAATTCTTTCTTTTCAAGTACATGCAGTATTTGTCAGTCATAAATTTGCTATGCAAACTGTGTGCATTGATGTTCATCACATGTGTTAGGCTCACTGTGGTGCGTAACTGGAATGCTAGCTGTTGTAAATTTGAAATTGAATTTGAGGTGTTGTGGGAATTCAAGCAAACATGTGACCAAAGGCTTTGCCCTTCAAAAGGGTTAAAACACAATTTCTTAGCTCCATATTAAATTTTTTTTTTATATCAAATACATTAAGCATTGTTGTATACAAATCTTAATATATAAAAAAAAAAAAAATCAATGCACAGGCTTGCGTGAGGTAAGTTATGGTTTTTCCTTATTTTTATTGAGAATCTGTTCAGGTGAAATTTGATGGTGATGATATTAGCAAACTGATGAACTTGCATAGCAAAGACTGTGTATGGAAAGTAATAATACATTGGACATACTACAAGGAATGAAAAATCATTAGCTTACTATGAAGAAATTTTATGTAATTAAAAAAAGGTTATTGAGTCATTGGATGAAAAATAAAAATACATTCTTTACTACATATTTTTTCTTTCATACATTTTTTAAACTCCACATCTTATTTTGCTAAAATTTTTATGTATATGCATTTTTGTCAGTCCCACCCATTATGTAACTTCTGGGTATTACTGTGTTTAATAGGCCTCCAAATAATTCTATAAATCAATCTTTTATATTGGAAAGCAGTCTGAGTTAGCCATCTTATGTGTGATTAATAATATACAATTCATTTCTTATGTTTATCATAATGTTCATAAAAAGTAACTATCACTGCACGATGGTAAAAGATCATATTATCACGTCTTTATCATAGGAAAAACAGGTATAAAATTATTATTAGTTATGAATACATAGTACTAGTTATAAACAGAGTAATCAAATTACTATATGTCTATGCCTCTAAATTTGCATGTTTTATTAATTAATAATGAAACCTTAATTTCCATGTGCATCAAATTGCAGACAAGATTGAAATCATAAATTTGATAATTTACATAATTCTGGAAAAAATCATTAACTATTAATTCAACCAATTATAAAAATTATTATTCGAAACTTTACCATATTATTCTGTGTTGAGTACTATAAAGTGTTTTCTCCGTTCTTTCTGCAAGCCTTCCTGGTGTAGCTGGAAGTACACTCGATGAGTGTTTGAGAGGTCCAGGTTCAAGTCCCAGCGAGGGCATTGCACATTTTTTAGTTTTGTGACATCAAAAATAATCTAATGTCTCTACAGTGCTGCCCGAACTAAAAAGGTGGTATGTGATGATTCTTCACCACCAGGATTTGGTGAATGGGTTCCCTAACCTCCAGTTGTCCTTTAAAAGGAGGAGTATATAGGGTATTTTCTCCCCCCCCCATTTCTGCATTCCATCGTGGTGTAACAGTTGCATGCTCGGCACACATTGGAGGAGTCCAGGTTCAAGTCCCGGCGAGAGCATTGCTTATTTTTAATTATTCCTGCTTCAAAATAACTTAATGACTCTTTAGTGCTTTTACATTTAACTTGTAGGCATTTAATATGAAGTACCTTAGCATGTAGATTATTGCATCATATTTTAAATTATTATTAATAATTTATATTAAAATATAGCTTTTCATGTTGTCTATGGGTAAAGTAATGCTTCAGCAGTCGTAAAATATATCATTTCATATATGTCATATTTGTGTGTAGATTAATTTAAGTCTTGACTAAACTTCAAGAATTGCTTAGAAACTCCAGCAATGTATTAATAAATAAATTGCTTTAATTATTGCAAGCTTAACATGCTAGTTTAGTATCATATCCACTAGTCATTTATATGTTTGCTGTGTGATGTATCTCATCTGAAGACCAGTTAGTTATATTCATTCCATGGATATGTGCTTTTTTTAGTAATAATTTAATCCTTTAGAAATGTTATGCTTTTTTGAAGAGTGTTATAATATAGTAAATAAGTTCTGAGAGAAAAGTAAATTTTTTTCTTCCTTATATTTTATGAAGAATGACTCATTTCTGAAAAATGTACCATTTTTCTGAAACGTTTTTTAGATATTAAATGAATTATAATACTTAAAAAATATTTCGATCCCAATTTCAAAAGAAAAAAATATAACTGATCAATTTGAAATAGAACTAGTATTATATTGAGTACTTATCATTTCTTTAGTTTTATTTATGTTAGATGAAAAAAATAGCATTAATAAAAATTCCGAACTTGAGATTTTGCTACCCTTTTTATTGTTATTAATTTAAATGATATTGTATTTTCAGGAGGTGTGCCAAAGTGTTACCTCTTGCATCTGCTGCTTATCAAGATAATCTGCCTACTCACTATACAGAAGATTATCATCAGAACAGAGTAATCTTTTTGCATAATATATGTTTTATCTGTATAGCTTTTTCAGTTTTAAAATTTAATTTAGAAGTCAATTTCATATTTAAAGTATTTCTTCCATTCATGCTTTCAGTTTATTGGTTGAATTTGAAACTTTTACAAATTGTTTCTGATGTTACAACCAAATATATTATATAAATTCTGAAATAGGAAATATTAATTTTTTTAATTTATAATTTTTGAGAAGAAACCTTTTTTTAGCAATGAATCGTATCTGCTACATGTTCAAATGCAAATGAAATTCTATATCTGTTATATTTTTATTTACTTAAAGACATAGTGAATATATTGTGTATTTGATTGTATAGTGTCATAATTTATCTATCATAAATATCCAATATATGTATTTTGAAAAGTATATATTTATAAATGTTTTATGGAAGCAGCATTGTACTAAAGATTACTTGTTTCTAAGTTAAACTCAAAGGGAACAAAAAGAGAAGTTCTGTTGTTTTCTGTTCAGTTTTTCTGTTCTTTTTACATTTTGCCCAGATTATTTAATACTGTGTTGATATTATTGGTTCAAATGGTAACTCTCAATTCTGTTGAATAGATTTATGTATTACATGCATATAATAATCTTAAAAAACAAAAAATGTGTAATAATTGTAATGAATCCGGATAGTGTAGTGTCATAAAAGCAGTTAATATTTTTAATCAGATATATCATGACTTTTTTTTTAATCAGTCAGATTAAAATGTAAAACAAAATGTTTTTAAGAACTGTAATTATGGCTTTTAAATTGCTTAGATTGTTAATCATTAACTGGCTGATTAAATTTGAAGGTGATTAAATTAACTAATTAAAGATCTTATGCTTTGACAAGTGGCAACAATCTGCTTTTAAATCACTGAGTTTGTTAATGAAAAATTCATCAAATTTGCACAAAGTATAAAATAAGTAAAATAAATAATAATAATAAAAAAAAGGATATGAAAAGTCTGAAAGTTTTCAGATTTGAAATTACTTCCAGAGGGGTGCTTTTTTTTTAACATTTTGTGTGTTACCTTTATTTATTAAATATCACATTTTTCGCACTTAATCCATAAAATTCAGTTCAACAACAATATTGCAAAATAATTTTAAAATGAGCATGTCTTTAGAATTTCCGATACATGGTTTCATGCGCTGAAGATAAAAATATTTTGTTTTCCATGCAGTGTGGCTATGACTTGCTTTGAAATCTTTGAGTTTGTTAATCAAAAATTTGTTGAAATTTTACAAAATATGAAATCGGTAATAAAACAAATTCCAAATTCCAAATTAGGGCTACCATAATTCCATAATTGATGCATACAGTTGCCCATATTCGGTGAAAGATTATGTTATTCAAAATTGGATGGCTTATGTACTGTTGTTTTATCACAATGTGAAAAACATACGTACATTTGTACAGATTGTTCATTATTTAATTTCTTTAAATATAATACAGGGCGATAATACTTGGTGGCAACAATTTGAAAAGTGAAACATCGCTTGTAGTGAATCGATGCAAAATGACGAAACAAAATTAATAGTCCTTCTAGGCAAATTACACCTTTAGACTATTAAATTAATTCAAAATAAAAACTTTGAAGTGCACATGTTATGCATGGAAAACTACATGTGTTCAAAAATTTCATGACTGTAGGGGCCTTCCATTTTTCCACAATATCGGGAACATGTACACAGTTTCTTCATTATTTAATAATACACTTGAACGGTTTGGAGTTTATGCAGGCCAAGAAATGACTAGAATACCACCAAAATTTTTATGTCATCAAATATATGGTTATGTTTTTGAAGCTAAATGCATGGGCGCTTTTGAAATGTGGCATTGGCTATGCATTGAAGAAAATATAATAAATGGCCTGCAGCTCATAATCATTATGTCTTAATAAGTATTAAAAGTAATTTCCTGCTGTAATTGATAACACACAAACCCTTAGCAAGTTGAAAAAAAGGGCAAATAGTTCAGCCATACTACCACATTGCCTTCAGCAATTCATTCATCATCTCTGTGGAGTTCAATAATTGAGATTCATAAACATTATTTTATGTCAGGTATATCTGGTACTATACCAATTCATGTTGTAAGCATATATGATGATTGTTTGGTATTAGGTGCAATCTTCACAAAGGACTGCTTGCCTGCAGCCTGCCACACTTAATTTATTATTTTATTGTAAACTTTTATTCTGTAGTACAAACAGTGCCTTCTGTTCAGTAAGCAATTCATTCAAAAGGTTATTTTAACCTTTCTAAATCTTTGTCATCTAAATTCAGACTAAAGTGATAAGTCTCTTGTCAGTCTAATAGGGTCTGAAGTTATGGATTTAATTAACCATATCATTATGTCCATTATTACTATGTCCACCATATTATTAAGATCTAAATTAAGCTTTTATACAAGCAGTACCCTACAGCTTTCTTAAGAAAGAAACTTCAGAAATTGGAGTTGTTAGCCCATACAACATATGAACTTCCACCTTCTCATCATAAAAAATCCCTTTGCTTATTGATGAGTCTTCGGAGATCGAGTCAAGCACTGACTCACCCCCATATAAAGATACACTAGCTTTAAGCTCACCCTATCTGCATATGCCTAAAAGATGACAATCCAAAGTATACACTGTAAAATAATTTTTATTTGTTTATAATGTATTTAAAATTTTAAATATGTTATTTGTTTATTGTAATATTTTTAATTCTTTATTTGAGGGTATTTTATAGTACTTATCTCATGAACATCACTAGATGATATGCATAACAAACTATGTAATATTTTATTAATAAATATATGATACGAATTATTATTCGGAATATAACTCATTCGTAAGGTGGGAATATTGCTTGAATTAGTATATTGCTCTGGTTTACAATGTCATGCACAGCTCACTATTATATTACCCAGAATTATGGCCTTACAGTATAATGGTATGACTCTGTTTGAGGGTGAATATTTTCACTTTGAAATACATTGGAACATAGAAGTATTAATTGTTTTGCTAGTTAATTTTATTTCATACCTTTATGAGATACTGCAAATAAATTCATATGCTGTTATTTAAATTTTTATCGTATATTTCTTTATTCCTTTCAAAGAAAGATTTCTGTGAAAAGTTGAAAAAATCATAGATTTTTCCCTTTCAGTTAGCTCATGCCTTACATGTTTTCAACCTTCATGCCAGAGGTCCAGCTGTTCAAAGATTTGCAAAGCAGTTAAAAGAAGATTGTGAGAGGCTATGGAAAAATGGTCATCAAATGTGCGAAGTTCTTAGTCTCACAGGAAACAATTGCATGAATCCTGTATGTATTTTTTTCAGGGAATTTATTTAGTTCTCTGAATTTTATTATTATTTTTGAATATCATGGTGTGTTTTATATATAAATGCTCCGTATTATCCTTCAGAGACTTTTTTGTGTGTTTGGAGATTAAACAAAAAAGAAAGGGAAAAAACTCAGAATTTTTTTGTTTTCCTGAGAAAAATCATTATCAAACTAAGTCGTTTTTATTTTGCTTGTACTTTTTATGCTAGCTTTTTTTGAGATAATAATAAATAAAAATTGTTGGTTTTTCTTGCATTGATTATTCTGTTATCTGCTTTTAAGGTATCATGTAAGTTTGATGAATTTCAGTGTTATTAGTTTTCTTTAATTTTGATTCATTTGTTTTTAAAATAATATTATAACTGGCTTTATGCCATGTTTTAGATACATCGAACAGCAGATGATGATTCTCAAGAAGATAAAAATTTACCAATCATGTCACATTGTAGTCAAGTAAAAATATTATCTACTTGTGATTGTGGTAGGAAACAAGGCACGAGAGATGATCCTTTTGATGTTAAGGTAATTTACAAAATGTTCATAATTTATTACAAGTTTTTAAATAGATTATTTTGTTATGTAAAATATTAATTATCTCTATAGGCTGCAAATCATGACTTCTATATAATTCAAAGAAATCAGTGTTGCCGAGATTTGGAGAGAATTGAATTTCCAGTGTTTCAAGCCAGCACTGTTGAATCTCACCCTGTTAGAATTTCACCCATTCCCATTCTTGTATGCAATGAAGACTCAGAAGAAAAGATTAAGGAAACTAATTCGGCCAGTAGCTCAACTCATGGCAATAACCTTTCCAAAGCTGAACTTTCTGAAGGTATGAATTTATGTCATATGCATGAATAATTTGTACTTTCTGTTTATCCTCACCTCTGCTGAAAAGTCATGAAAAAGGATTCATGAAGTAAAGCAATATATCGTCAAAATAGCTCCTTTCTGCATGTCTTCATGGTGTAACGGTAGCACATTCGTCGTGTATTCAAGAGGTCCAGGTTAGAGTCCTGCTGAGGGTATTGCTAATTTTTTGTGTTTCTACTTCAAAATAAATTCATTAATTTCTTTACAGTGGTCCCTAAACTTAAAATAAATTAAAAAAAAAAAAAAAAAAGAATGATGATTCTTTACCACCAGGATTTGGTGAATGGGTCCCCTAATCTCCAGTTGCCCTTTAAAAGGGGTAGTATATAAGGTATTTTCTCCCTCCTTTCTGCATCCATTTCATCAAATTATGTAAATTAAAAAAAAAAAAAATTTAACTACATCAATTAAAAAATTGATGGCTTTTAAATGAAATTTTAAAAAACGAAATTTTTTTGGTGTTATGTTATAAAGCATTTTCTTCTGCTTTTCAGCATGCCTTTGTGGTAACACACTCAATGCATATTCAAAATGCAAACTCAATTCAAGTCCCGGTGAAGGCATTGCTCATCTTTCATGTCTCCCGGTTTCAAAAATACTGAATGTCTACACAGTTATTTAATAACCCATGATGTATGTAAAGTATTAATACTAAAAGTATTTATGTAGCAACCCAGCTATGTCTATTCCAGCTGGTATGCAATGGCAAATTTGTGCAATTCTCTGAGGATTTTTTTAAAAGTAAAAGCAGATTATTGTATACATGGTACAGAGCAATAGTGCAAAAAATAATTTATTGAAAAAGTGTTTCATTACTGATGTTTCTTGTTTTTTTTTTTTTTTTTTTTTTTTTTTTTTTTTTTTAATTTACTGATTGATTGCTGTTAGTTTTTGCACATCAGTTTGGAAAAAGAAAAAATTAGTCAGCAAGGAGTTTGCGATTTTTTGGTGAGAGGTGCAAATAACTAAAAAGTATCAAATAACTTGCTTACATAATTCCATGATTCATTTAATTTAATATTGTTTTAAACTATTTTTTTAATATGCTGTAACATCTCTGATCTTTGTTTGGTAATAGATTTCACCCAACTTCTTAACAATGTTAGCAATATAGAGTAGTACAGCCTTAAATACCATTATAATTGGTTTGTGCAATAGCCAAGTGCCAGTATATGTATGCCAGGATTAATATTTTTCAACCACCTCCATGATGATCTTAACAATTTTCTTTGTTTCTTGACTTTTCTCATTAACTTTCCTAAAACTCACTGTTAAGGAATTTACAAAAATTTTGCACAGAAAAACACAAAATCACTTGAAAATACAGAATTAGACCTTGGATTGTTTACTGAAAGGTGGCTTATGGGCAGTCGTTGCAATGTCTCAAAAAAGGTATATATGTGTAGTGACTCATTGAACATAAGTCGAATTCCAAACAGATGTTGTATACTGAACAAAAATTTTCATGTCTGAACAGCACATATGCTAAGTCCATGTGGTACTTGGAAAAAAAAGTTTCAGTTAGCACCCATTCAGTGGGTTTTGTAGATCTCCACGAATGTTTTTGGTACCCATCGAATATAAAACTTCAGGTAGCCTAATTTTCAGATGACTACCTTGTATTAAACAGTCTAAGAAGTGTTCGGAAATTGTTGTGAAAGGTTCCAAGATTGTGATTTGACAGATTTTGTTGTCAATTTGTTTGATGAGATCAGCACTCGCTACAAAAGGCCGCCCATTCCTTCATTCATCATGCACGTTTGCTCTTCCCTGTTTGAAAAATCTCACCCAATGCATTATACACCTTCACTCGTAGTGTTTGAGCCATATACAACACACAATGCATGATGAATGTCTGCTGTTGACAGATTTTTGCCCAAGGAAATTGTGTTCTCTTACCTCACATTTGGCAGAATTTTCAATAGCAGAGCACATTTTGTAACCTTGCTGCATGCTGTATGCAATGTCGAATTTGTGCAATTTTCTGATGTTTTTTAAAGAAAAACCAATTATACATATACATATGGAGAATGGTTTCCCCCCCCCCTCATCCTATAAATTGCTTTCATGTAAGTATTTGTCAGTGAACATTATCAACAGATCAAAAGAAAACAATTACAAATACAAATTAAAATTGTTAAAAAAGGATTGTTTTTACATTAAACAATATATGTAGCAATCTACTTTTGTTTAAAAACACATGTAGAATTGCACAAAGTCAGCATTGTGCACATTAAACATTATATGTATTATATGATGTATACCTGTTAGTTACTACTGTAAGTTTGCTAATTCTGGCTACTTGTCTTCCCATTTTGGTGAGACAGTTGCTTTACCAAGTAATTAATTTTATTTTATGTAAATATGAGGTACTACTAAATTCATCGACACAATAATGTGTACGTAGATTATTACTTTTATTTTCATCGTACTTCAAAATGCTTAAATAGTCTTCACATTTTGGTGAGACAGTTGCTTTACCAAGTAATTAATTTTATTTTATGATGTAAATATGAGGTACTACTAAATTCATCGACACAATAATGTGTACGTAGATTATTACTTTTATTTTCATCGTACTTCAAAATGCTTAAATAGTCTTCACATTTTGGTGAGACAGTTGCTTTACCAAGTAATTAATTTTATTTTATGTAAATATGAGGTACTACTAAATTTATCGACACAATAATGTGTACGTAGATTATTACTTTTATTTTCATCGTACTTCAAAATGCTTAAATAAATAAAAGCTTTTCCTGTCTCAGGAGTTTCTCAGTGAAAGAAAATTAAAAATTTTAATTAGCCAAAAAATGTATAATTTAGAATATTTAATTAAATATTGCTATACTTTACATCAGGATTATATTATGAAAAGCTGAATAACCTGAATCATGCATTACAAGCCAAATTTAAATCAGTTTGAAATTCTTTTGAAATGGTGTCACTGAGCAACACAAAGCCCTCCTGGTTTTTTGTATTTCAAAGTTAATGGGTGGATTTCATGAGATGGGTTTTTAGAATTTGGAGGTAAAAGCGTGAATTTTCATATATTTCCATTTAAAAAATATATTGTTCTTGCAAGAATTTCAGCAAAAGTTTGAACTTCTGGCAACAGAATAGGCATGAAGATGACCATGACCAATATCAGTCTCAAGAGACATTTCACACTATATGGGTATAATAATGCCTTCAGTAACACTGAAATTCAGTGAAATCTGGGCAAGAACTGTGGAACATTACTTTCATTACATGAGCTCGAGCAGGAATCCAACTGGATTACTCCTCGTGAATACATTAGACAGAGCTATGCAAATAACTTGGCCAATAATTTGAAACTAAATTATTGGAAGGGAACATCTTGATCTAATCAGTGTCATTTCCAATTATTTTAGGCAATTAGAAGGATTTGCTGTGGACTAAACTCCGTAAATCTTACATAACAATGAAAGATTATATAGGCTGTAGTCACTTTGTTAACCTTTTCACGACGGCGCACCTTTGTTTAGGACGCTCGTGCAGGATGGAAGGGAATCAAAGGCAGTCACCGTACAGGACCGAGGTTTTACATTGCTAAGCCTAATTTTATAAAAAAAAAGTTTCACTTCTAGCATCGTAATTTTTGGTATCATTTTAGATTATTACTTGAGCTCTTATATATGTTAAAATTAGCATTTAATAATGTTTTTTTCTTTATTTTACATGAAAATATACTTAAAAATTTCCTTATCTTGTAAAATAATTTTCAGAAGCATTATCAAATATTCCAAAGTTTAATTGATAAAATTAATCAATAAAGGTTAAAATTAATAAAACAACATAATAAAGACTATTTACAGTAAGAAGTAACAAAATTTAAAATGAAGACGGAGTGTGGTAAATCTCGAAGTATGGAGAAGTATCACTTTCTAACTCTTAGAAAAAGTATAACTTTCCAGCTCTTTAGTAAAAGAACCATTACTCTCATCTGCGTTAATAAATGGTTCATTAACCATATGAGGGTATTCTTCCTCTGATAAATAGCGCCTTCCCTCCATAATAGAGTGGAGGCGAGGCCTTTCCGAAATAAAAAGAGAAGAAACGGAAATATATCTGAAAGCAAAGCAAAACGTAACAGAACTCCACATATTAACCCTAAAAGACTGTATATAGTAGAGGGAAAAATATAATAAAATTGGACATAAATCAGACACGTGAATATTTATATTAGCACATGGCAATTTAAAGAGCCCACCTCTGTTTACACTTTCCCTTCCCCATCCACCCTTGCAACAGTTGATGAATGAAATACCAAAGTCAGACAGAATATATCAAACTCAAGGTTAGGAACCTAAAACTGTGTTCATTTCAAAAGTAATGGACATATAATTCCTTCAGAAAAATGCTCCAGCTTAAAATGCGTATGCACATTACCCTCTGAATGCAATCTTTAGTGATGCGTGGATGGGACGCCCAGCTGTAAGAGATGTTCTTAGGGAATGCGTATATGGGACACCCGTCTTGAAGGGATTAAAGTATGGGGGTTATTTAGCTGATAATCATAAGGGCACCTTGGTATATCTAAAAAAATTCTAATAAGTAAATACTGTATGCATATTCAAGCATTTATGTGGTGGTTTTAGTATCTTCTGTGGCAACAGTGTGAAGTCATACAGATGTCAAATTATGTTTAGAAGAGCACTTATTTGAGTTTGAAATCCATGGCAACCAAGTCTCCAGATCTCAGTGCTTTTAAACATACATAGATGACATGCAGCATTATTGTAATTAATAAAATTGTTTTTAACACAGCTGCAGGACACAGAAATTCTGCTCTTCCAAAAACAAGAGAATTGTGAATTCCTTTTTTAGGAAGTGTGGGTACATTGCTTACAAAATACTCCTACATACTTTTAAAGTCTGCATTTAACACTCCCTCGAATGGCCTACGTTTAGGGTATTGTACCGGCTGCTTTTGGCATTTCAGTGTGTGTGTATGTTTATTTTTTAGTTTTGATTATTAACATCAATTTTCCTTTGATAGCTGTTAAAAGTGTGTGAGAGATGTAATATTTTTCAAGAATACAAAATAGTTTTAATATGTGACAAGTGTTGTTTGATGCTAGAAATGTCATTAGTGTAGCCTTAAAAAAACTGGATTGTTACATTATGTTCTGCTATCATGCACAACATACAGCTTTATCATCCTTGGCAAATATTTCAATCATATAGAGTGTGAGATCTATAATTTATTTTCCACGTTTTATGAAAAATAGCCAGTTTCTAAGTTTTAATTTTTGACCTGACACAAAATCTTTCTTTTAGCATTCAGATCATAAAGCTTAGCATATTTGTAATTAATAAAACATGTTTTAGCAACTTCCCACAATGGCAGCATATATCACTGACCTGAAACAAAAATGTGTATTTATTGTGATTAATTATATATAAGAATCTATTTTTGGTTTTAGTACTCAAGGTATGTATTGTTACGAATTTTGTACATATATCACTAATTTCAGTGAAATTATATGTGAAGTTGTTGTTATTTTTGTGTAAACATAAAATGCTTGGAAAAGATGAAGCTCTGCCAGAAAAATAAGATTAAAGGGATGAATCTATTTAACATTGAGGTAAAGCCCAGCTGGCGATAGTTTTGGCAACTAATTTTTAATACCAAATTTGTTGACATTTTGGTCCAGTCCCTTTAGTAGCTGTAATTGGTATTGTAATTGAATAATTGTAATTGATCCCTATTTGCAACTGTAAATGTATCTGGTGGTCATATGCCTTCCAATAATTTTAAAAAGTGAAAGGTACTAGAGATTTCTTTGCAGCTGTGGAAAAATTATGTAACACCAAAGAGAGCATCAGCTTCTTTGTTATTAGTTCAGAGCCGAATGCAGAGTACTGAGATATCAATGCGAGCTTCGCCTTTTAGATGCGCTTTGCATTGCATTGCATTTAAAGTTCTTAGTAGTTTGAAATGTAACTACTGATAGTACTATGTGATATGGTGAAGAGCTGTATGATTACTTTTGTGGAAAGTTCCAGAACTTTAAAGTGTTTCATTTAATGAAATACAGTGGATGGACAAAAATATGGAAACACCTTGTGAAATGCATGTTTGAAAAGAAAGATTGATTTTAATGAAATATGTAGGTGGCGCTGGCGTTTTTGACTACTGACGCCACCTATACAACTTCGTAAATGTGCTAAACAGTTCAGTTGTTGTCGGAGTACTGTTATGTTGTTATGTGAGGTTGTCATTGCATTATGTCAGAGTTAACAGACTTCGAACGTGGGCAAATTGTTGGAGCACGTATGGTAGGTGCTTCCGTAAGCAAGGTAGCCGAGGTGTTTAGTGTTTCAAGAGGTACTGTATCGAAGATTTATTCCGCATATTTGAAAAGCGGAAAAACATCATCTGCTAAATCACAGCGCGGACGAAAGTGTGTCCTGAGTGATCGTGACAGACGATCATTAAGGGCAATTGTGACGAAAAATAAGAAGACCACAGCTGCAAAAGTTACTGCTGAAATGAATGTTGTGTTACCGAACCCTGTGAGTACCAAAACAATTAGAAGGGAGCTTCATAAACAGGGAATTGCTGGCCGTGCTGCAATTGAGAAGCCACTCATCAGTGATGCTAATGCCCGTAACAGGAAAAGGTGGTGTTTAAGTCATAAAGCCTGGACTATAGAGCAGTGGAAGCAAGTAATATGGTCTGTGGTCTGACGAGTCTTCTTTCACATTGTTTCCCACTTCTGGCCGAGTTTACGTCTGGAGAACGCCATCTCAAGCCTATAATACAGACTGCTTGTTGCCAAGAGTGAAACATGGCGGGGGTTCTGTTATGGTTTGGGCAGCCATATCGTGGTTCTCTGCTAGCCCCATGATAACTGTGTCAGGGCACATGACTGCCAAGACTTATGTGAACATTTTGGCCGATCAAGTTCATCCCATGGTACAAACTTTGTTCCCCGATGGTGATGGTGTCTTCCAAGACGACAAAGCCCCTGTTCACACAGCTCACATTGTCCAGGACTGGTTTTCTGAGCACGAGGATGAGTTGTCCCATCTCCCCTGGCCACCACAGTCACCAGACCTGAATATTATCGAACCTTTGTGGTCTACATTGGAACGGAAAGTGCGTTCTCGTTATCCACCGCCAACATCGTTATCTGAACTTGCCACCGTTTTGCAGGAAGAATGGTATAATATTTATTCCCTTGGCAAACATACAGGAACTGTATTTATCCATTCCGAGAAGACTGCAAGCTGTTTTGGATGCCAACGGGTTTCCTACACCATATTAAGCAAAGAAACATGTTTTTTTAAAGGTGTTTCCATATTTTTGTCCAACCCCTGTAATTTTCAACTAGATCGGTTTTGGCATTCAATTCATTCCCATAACACAGGACGTGCATTTTCTTTAAATTCACAAAAATAGTTAACCATTCTGTTATGATTTTCAATTGCATTTATATCTCGTTGTCGAAAATAGATGTGATATATCAACATTAACACACACAAATTTATATATGTACATATATATATTTTAATCATTTAGTCTTTTACTTAAATTCTTATTTTTGATTTTTAGTTAAATTTTGTTTAATTTGATGCTTTGTAAATTTTAAAATTATTTAAGGTAATTCAGAAGAGAATTCCCTTACTAATGAGATAGAGCAATTAACTACTGATGATCAATCTCAAAGTCAAGCTGAAGATGAACGGGATGAGATTGTAATCAGAATTCAGGATGACATCAGCTGCAAAGGTAACGAGCGCAGTCTCATTATTAGAGTTATTCATTATCTCAAACTCTATTGATATCTTTTCATTGTTAATAAATGTATGTGTAATTTTTAGTGTTTTTTGTTATTTTGTGAAATTTTTATCAGGAAATACTTTTTTTATGTGTTGTTCTTTTCAAAGTTAAAATGTTTGTTAAATATGTTACCATATTTAAATATTATTATTTTAAAGCTGATTTGTTTTAAATGAGCATCTGAAAAATAATACAGAAAATTGAAAACTTTATTTCATGAAATATTTACCATTTAATTATTTTATGTTTAAAGCACTTCAAGTAATAAGAATCGCTCATGGAATAGTGAGTGCTAATATAATAAACCAAAACATTAAAACCACTTGCATATCAGCCAAAAACATTAAAACCATTTACTTATTGTATTCAAAAAGCTCAATTCAATCAAAATAACATATCAAATAAATCATTGAAATTTTGTAAATGTCTTTTGTTATATGTCATTACAGTGATTTATTCTCATAAATTATGTAAGAATACAGTTGCTTAAAATTGTTTCTCCCATATTCAAACCACAAATGCTTGATTATATTCAGATGCAGTAAATTTCAAACTGTTACCTGTCAGAACATTCTTTTAATGTTCTTGACTCTTTAGCTCTTAAAATCAGTGTAATTTTATTTAACTGTAAGTTTCCAGGCCTCGTTAAATTATTTGAAGGCATAAAAAAGTTTCTTATGAGAAATATGCAGCAGAAGTATTTTTAGTGAATTATAATCCCATTGAACTTCGGATTTTAAAGTTTTTAATATATCTGTTATACGATACATAAGTACCAGAACAATGGCATATACATATTGTTTGATTTTTTCCTTTAAAAATTTTTGTTTTGATTCATTTTATTAATCTATATTTTGTTTCTTTCTCTATTACTTAACACCTATAAGAACACATGTCCATTACATACATGCATGTGGTCATTTTGACCGTGTATGCATTTTAATGGGTTTTTTTAAACCTATTTTACTATTTAAAAAACATTGTAAGGCAATAAAAGAACATTTAAATTAACAAAGATTATTAAACATGGCTGATAATAAATGTATTACAATTTTGAAACTTTTAAAAAAGCAAAAAATTTGTTAACAAACTTTGACATATCATATACTGGTGTAACGTAAAGTTCACAAACTCCCTCAGTTTCTTTGCTCAACCAGTGTTGCCAAAATCATAATGTAAAAATGCCTGTTGGTCAGATTGACCGATATGTACTTATAGGTGTTAAAGATCAAATTCTTATACAGAAGGAAATTGCAAATCTTCAACTATTTATTATTTTTTTATTGGGATTACCTTCCAAATATTTCAGTAATTCAACATTAGTACTGTCATTACCTCATTTATTGTAACTGTAGAAATTTTTACCCTGTTTTGTGCATTCATATGCATGAAGCTGGTATTGCTAGATATTTTTTTTAATAATTGTTACCTATTGATTTATTATTGATTTTTTTTAACTTAGAAACTAATTCTTTGAATTTCAGTGACAGGCATTTAATAATATAATACACAAAGTAGATTTAAGATATTATTTATTTATTTTTAAAATCATTTATTATAACATTAAATTATGTACACTGTGAAAAAAAAAATAAAGAAAGACAGTTCTATATCTCTCATTCTACTAAGCCACTTGATGAAACTCAAATTGAGTTTTCCATGTCTCGAAAGCGCGATATAGGATATGTGTTAGATTGGTATATAGCATTGTTCTAATATAAGTATTTTGACACATAATTGGACTTTTTCTGAAATGACTGTGTGCCTTTTTTTTCCATATTTCAATTCTATGACTCAAATTATGCCAAACTGCGAAGTTGATAAAAAACTCATGAGTAGTTTTTAAAAAATTAGCTCTCAAAATTTTAGTTCCTCAGTATTAATTGAATTTGATATATATTTATTAATATCTCTTTTTTTATTAAACATACTTAATTCTTTCTTTCACATTTCAAAATTTAGGTTCATTCCAAATAAAAGTCATTATTTTTTATGATTTACTTTTACAATTTATATTTTCAATTCATTTTTATAAATTTTTAGAAAAAAAATCGAATTATAATCTATAAAATTTTTATTGTTCTCTTAAAGAAGATGTATTTCTAAGCATACCTGCAAAAAATTAGTTTTATTCAGAATCTCCTAAGATACATGTGAATTTACATATTGGTGCGTTTTGAATTTTGGCATATTTGTTATAAGCGATAATAATGCAAATATGGTTTACGTACTTTGTTAAAAGCAAAGCTCTCCTGTTTTTCCCTCTTATTAAGCATTAGCTTTGAATAGTGCTTATCATGTTCTTCAAGCACCTCAATGCATTTTAAATGTTTGAATTTGGTTCTCAATTTTTGCACTACAAAACCAGTAACATATACAATAATACACTCCTTGTATTCTGTAAGAACTGTCGGATCTTAACACTCACGATCTTGTAAATGATTCTGATTTTCAAACTTTAAATCTAAAATATTTTTATGAATTAATAAGTTGATTACACGACTTGATTCGGAGTGTGTGGAACTTGATGCCTGTAAAATTTTAATATTTTCTAAAGTTGTGTAATTACCTTTAGAGCTTTCTTTTAATTCATTGTGAATTATAATCTATTTATAAGCACTAATAAATTGCCTAACTGTAGGATTATTGCTCCACCCACCACGTCCACATATTAAACCAAAAAATAATTCAATGTGTTACTGACTTATTTTATATGCAGGCAAGTAAAATCGGTTTTGAATTATGTATTAGATTTTTATGGAGTCTTGAGAAGCTCTCAGCACATACAATCAAACCCTAAAATGCAATTCTTCTTTCTTTCTTTCTTTTTTTAATTATAGAAATTTTCTCTTGACAAGTTTTTAAAGAAAAAGTATTTAATAGCATCTCTTAATTATTCAGAAACTTGCTAAAATTCTGAGGAAATAATGGCTTTTTCTATCCTGGTATTTCAAGAATTCGAAACATCGAAAAGACAATGAACTGCCTCGGAAATTTTTTTCTTTGCTTTCACATTTTCAAAATTTTTCAAGCCAATACGTTGGCATTCTTCAATTGTGTCAGCAATTGAAGTGGTCATTAATTGTGCTGCAAATTTAACATTCATTTTAACTAGAATCATTCCAAATGGGATTTCTGCAATTTATTTGACAGATGCAGTACTTCTGCATCCTGCAGTTCTTGTAGTTTCATGATGAAATCCTGTTTCATCACTTGATTTTTATTATCTATAGTGTATTTCTTTTCTTCTAATATATTTCTTACCAATTTTAACATATGGCGGGTCCAAAAATAGAAAAATCTTTTCTTCATTTGAAGGACGCTGAAATGAAGTCAACAAAGGTTTGTTAGATCAAATGAATGTCCTAGGTGTTTATCCATACTCATGCTTCACCCCCTCCCTGGTCTCTATAATGTGTCTACAGTTTCTTCCTCTAAGAGTTTTTCTTTTTTAAGCTCAAAAATAATATTCTTCATTTTTGCATTTTATTTCTTTTGCCGGCGACACTTTTGTTGCAGCAATTTTATTTTGTTTTATTTTATTATTATTATTTCATTTACTCGTATCTCCGTTAATTCTATTTAAGTTTCAACTTTCATGGAGTTCACATTTCTGAAATGTTTTCATTTTCTTGTTCCTGAATTTCCATTTCTTCCTCATCACAAATTGATTTATTCATTGACTCTTCGATCATACTGTCTTCATTTATGTGGCTACCTTCTTCAAATGAAGTCTGCATCACACCAAAAGTATGATCTTCCTCAGAGCTCATCCTTTCATTTGAAAGATCTTTTGCCATTTCTATCTGTAATAGTAAAGTAATTAATGTATCTCAAAATTGTAACTTTGATTTGTGTACTTCCCCTTCTTATCTTAGAATACTAATATATGAATCTAAAGTGCATCATCTGCAAATAAATATGTTTCATGTCTCATATGTAATCAAACTGGAGTACAACAGCTTTCAGCCAGTCTAATTAAAGAAATATTTTACGATACACCTAGTGCTTTGCTGTTGTGTACCCCCACCCCCCAGCTTTGCTCATTGCTGGCAGCAAGCATTTCTTGCTGTCCTTTATTTCATGGTTTCAAAATACGTAAGATTTATGAAACAGTCAGTAATGATGTATGAAAATAGTTGTATGAAATAATACTTTATCCAATATGTTATTATTATATTCAGTTTGCCCGTCTCTCTCCGTCTTTGAATGTCATCCTTGTATCTACGCAATCAACATTCCTACATTATTAACTATAAACCTACAACATTACATGTATATATGTGTAATTTTTTACTCCAGATATCAAATACTTAATTATAAATGAAATATTTACTTCAAGGGATATCTGTCAAGCAATTGACACAAGGAATATCTGCATAAGCTTCATCTAAGTTAAGCTTTCCATTATTTCAGGAAATAAAAAAGGATTTTCTTTAAGACATTTTTAGAGCTTCTATCTGTGCATTCAAAAGTAACTTCAGTTGTTTAATCTAAGCAAATACTTCATCTTTTTGCCTCCATATTATCTCCCTTTTGAATAAGAGCATCTTGGGGCATGGAATACATCTGTCGTGTGCTTTGAACTTGAGAGTCTTCTGTCTTGATTGATTTTAAGTGCCCTTATATCACAAAAATATTAGACTTAAATCCTTACAAGGCACAAAAGTAAAACATCTGTATAAATTATAAGGATTTAAGTCCAACTCAGTCGTATAAGAATCATTTGGCATTTACCGAACTGCTGTATGCAGTAAGGTAAACAAATGAAAAAATGTAATAAGAGAAATTATAAATAAGGAATCATGCAAACATATTATATTTCGACCCTCTTAAATGCAACCCTGGCTGGCATTCTGCCAAAACACATAGACTCATCCAAAAGGGGCATTATTACTTGCTGCGACGTAAAAGGTCTCTCTTCTCTGGAAAGAGATGTGCTGGAAGGAAAGAAAGTCCCCATTCTTCCATCCTATTTTGAGAATAATTCGATCCGAGTGGCGCATGCGAGTTTGCGCTCATGGTCGCAGATGAGGCAGTCGAACTATAACACATGCAGAAAGCTATATAACTATTTTGAATAAAGCATTAGTGCCATCTATCTAAAGAATGCCTTCTTATTATTCTGCGGGAGAGGGGGGACATCTTTATTATTAATATATCTTGCAAGTAGATAATTAACCCACATGTAGCCCCTTCATTATTATGTAACTCTTATGTGTTACAAATGCTGTATTTGAATTGTTGAGTTATCAGAAAAATGAAATAAATGAAATGAAATACAGTTAGTAAGTCATATTTATTATGAAATAGCAAACACCGAAAAGCTGTAAGGGAGATGACAGAGCCATAAATATTGTTGAACTGCTCGCTGTTTGATTTGAACTTGAGACATACAAGTTTTGTGTAAATTATTTTCATGAAAATGTGTAGAGCATATCCAGTATGGTCTACCTATAGATCCAGTCCATTGTCTCTGGAAAGTTTCATCTTTTGGAAATCTTTATAAAAATAGTCAGGATGCTCCTACGTTAAATGTGAGCAACTGGTTACTTAATAAAATTTAAAATTTTATTTGGTACGCATAGTAAATGAAAAGCACCAGTGCATTTCAAGATACTATAAATTTTACATTTTTAGAATCTTGAATTTTATATTTTTTAGAAAAATTTAATATGGTGCATAACATAAATTGAAAGGATTAAATTAATTTAAAGACATTATTTTTAAAAGGATATATGTGTTATTTAGAGAATAAAGCACCAAAATAAATAAAAATCATTAACGACTTTTTTTTTATTAATGTCTAAATGATGGGTTAAGTTATTATTTACTAGAAAATATTACAAAAATAAAAGAAAGGAAAAAAAGAGGGGGTTAAGGATGTTTAGTCTTCTACTCTCTTGCAGATGTAATAATCAGCAGTATGATATATGTGAAACATGTTAAAATTTTTCTTTGTATGAAAGACTGAAAATTGCCACCTCAAAATTGCCTCTTTATGCATTATTTTTGTAAGTGCTTCAAAAAGGTACTTACAAAAGAAAAATATTAGCTGAATACATGTGTCCTTTTTTTAAGGATCATGACCTTGAATTTAAATTATGTAGTGCTTTGATGATGATGTATATTGAAGTAAAAATTGTTAACTGTTTTGGAAAGGAATTTTCTGATAGTTTCAGCTTATAATTTGTCATATGATATATCTTTATGATATATTTCGATGTCATATGATATAAACCAAGGATTGGTGGCTGTTTCTTTTCGCGGAATTTATGCCCGAGATAGATTTATTTTTCAGCATGCCGCCTTTCGAGGAAGAATAAAATAAGACTGGATAGATTAATTTCATATACGCTCAAAAGTCGTTAATCCGGACTCGTCGGGACTTCGACGACTCCGGATTATCGATTTTTCCGGATTATAGATCATCACTTTAAATCTGGTAAGATAGCATGCAGAAATTATAAAATTAAAAATATGAAACCGTAATTTATGAAATAAAGAACAATTATGATCTAAAGGGTATCAAAATTTACAAAAAGAAAAAGCTTAATATTTATTTGTTTACTTTATTAACATTTCTTTCAATGTAAGTTGCTTCGTTTTATGTGATAATACTTTCTCTCTAATTCTATAAACAGACATCATTTCTTGTTCAGTTACAAAGTTCCGCTGTTCAAGTCCCGTAATTGCTGTGCCAGAATACCGACTAACTTGTCAATCGAAATTTTTTCGTTTTCACTAACCCTCTCTGTCACCTTCTTCATGTCTTTATCCATTTTTTTGCAGCAATTCCACTTTTTGTTCATATAGACATCGAAACGTACTTTCGTTTCGTAGATCCTTTGGGAGCTCCAGCATCGGAAATTCTATTTGACATAATCGAAAGTTCAAGTTTTACTTTTATAAATTGCTCTTACAGTCTGCAAAAAATAATAAGCCGGATCCAATTCGAAGATTAAGGAACAACGCAATCATCAACATTAACTGAAATAGATAATTAGATAATTTTAGCTTATACCGTCTGTTATACATAAAACGCGCATGCGAAAACGTATTCTGCACTTGCGCACACACATATGCGCAGTCGTAAAGGTCTTACGCGCACGCGTCAATGCCTATGCGCAAGTGTCAATGCGGCGCATGCGCAGAAAGTTTTTAGCTTTGAGGTCCGGATTATAGATCATTCCGGATTATGGGTGTCCGAATTAATGACTTGACTGTACTATTCATTTGAGTAATGAAGGGAAAGACTTGTATTTTCTAAGAAGAGGTCTTATTTAGCTATTGAAATATTTGACAAAGTGAATTTGCTATCAAGTATAATGACTATGATTTCTGTTTCAAATTATGTTGGAGTGGGCAGTAGATTTAGTAACTCATCTTTGTGAAATAGACCTGCAGTTAATTTATTGATCTTAATTGAAACTGTCCAGTCTGTAAGCCATGCGTCTAGCAAATCAAGGTAATGCTGAATTTGATTTTAAATGTTTTCTAATGTGTAAATATTGAAGGCCTGTGTAATCAGTGATTAGTACTATTTGAATTTTTGGAACTGCATCCATAAAATTGTCTGTCTTATTCTGAGAATCTTTGTAACTAGAAGTACATATATTAATATTTAAGAAAGTAAAATTATGTTTTTTACTCTTTATGCATTATAACCATTTATGTAATTGTTTTAAATTCTTTTATTACTATGAAGACCATAAAACAGTTTTATAGTGAAAATTTTAAGTATTGAAGGCAAAATTGTTTTTTCTAATAACTGAAGTCTTAAAATCTATTTTATTTTGTAGATAGAAGTCTTACTAGGCAACCATCTACTACAGAATATTTGCCAGGAATGCTTCATTCAGAAAGTAGGCTTGGTCTTCTTCCAAAATTTCCATCTTGGTCTTTAGTGTGTCTGGGACCATCTAGTTTATATTCACACAATATTGGTCAGTCTATTTGATTTTAATTTATTCTTCAGATATATTTTGATTGTCTGTAACTCTTAGTTATTAAATTCTTTGTGTGTCTGAATTTGATTTATTATTGCTTAGGTTTACAGGAACAGCCTGGTTTTATTGTTGGTACAAACTATCTTTTGCCTTGGGATGTAACAGTAAAACTTGAACAGAAAGAGCGGTGGCCTGCTTTGTGGGAAGGCAAGAGGCCATTAAGTTTAAAAGCTAAGAAGGCAATTAGAGGCATGTTTCAGATTTTTATTATTTTGATTTACCAATATCTCTAAATTTATTTACTGTAAAACCATTTTTTTCTGCACTGAAATTAGATTTCAGCTTAGGTTTAAGGATGATAGAGTATGTAAATTTTTAGAAAAGAAAATCTCTGTTGTAAATAGAAATATTTCTTGCCAGAAATTTAAAAATATTTTTTGTGTCTAACCTGTTTTAAATACGAGAGCCTTAGTTTAATTTTTATTACTTCTTGTTTTGCAGATGGTCCTCAGTTTAATGTAAAAATTTTTATTGGAGTGGAATACGAATGTTATCATGGTCATCGTTTTATGTGTTCTGCTCCTGATAGAGTGCTTAGAGTTACCAGTACTGGTCATGTGAAAGTATGTTAAAGTTTTATCTTTAATTGTATCTATGTAATGAATTGGTTATTCTTAAATCTGTTATATTGATGGTAATATAAAATAAATATTTATGGTTTTCATTTTAAGTTAGCTTCTGATATATCACTATGAAATGTGTATTTCATTCATACTTTCGTTAAACAGAATAATCATAAAATAACTTGATCACTTATCCCCATTCCCGTAGTGGATGTGAAAATTAAGGAATTCATTTAAACTTTTACAAGATAAGTTCAGAGGGGTACAAAAGTAGAAATAGTTATTGTGGTTGCACTTAGTTCAGCCATATCTAAAAAATTTGCAGTACGATCACCAGATTCCTCATGAAGATTTAAACTGGTTGGGTTTAAAGTGAAAAATGACACAGATATCAGTTTTTAAACAGTGAAACAGCATATAAGGAACAAAGTCAAGTAGAAAATAATAAGTAAAGGGGAAGAAAGACTATTCTAGTTGCACATAGATATTATAAATGTTTAATATGTTTGTAGAGACATTCGGTATTTTTTGGAAGCAGGATAAGTGAAAAATGAGAAATGCCTTCACCGAGAATCAAACCACAGACCTCCGGAATAGGCGCCCAGCATGCTGACCGCTACACTATGAAGGCGAGAGAAATACCTTATATACCCATCGAGAGAAATACCTTATATAATCCCAGTTGCCCTTTTAAAGGGCAACTGGGATTTTAAGGGACTTAATCGCCAAATCCTGGGTGTGGAGAATCATCATCCACCACCCTTTTTTTAGTTTGGGCACCACTGCAGAGACATTAGGTATTTTTTGGAAGCAGAAGAAGTGAAAAATGAGCAACGCTTTCTCTGGGAATCGAACCATGGACCTCTGGAATACCTTTCAGCGTAGCTGACCACTACACTTCGAAGGAAGGCATGCTACGAAGGTGGGAGAAGTACCTTATATGTTCAGTGCTGTTATTAAATACATACTGTGTATGATCAGTGGCAAAGATAACAGTACTGTAATATATATCAGTTGTGATAAATTACATTTTCCTTGTATTTTTTCTTTCAAGCCACTTAGTGTACCAAAATTATTCTGGTAGGCTTAATCCAAAGTCAGAAGTTTATGAGTGTTAATTAGACAATATGAGAATGGAAACTGTCTGGAAATGATGAGATCACTGTAATGAACCTTTTTGGTGAAACTTTCCAAGTAAAATGATTGCTTTAAGTTGAACTGTTCATGTGTTTAAGTTCAAAACAGTGAAATGGCACACTATTCTGCATCCAGATCATCTTCTGCAAAGCGTCATACTTCCAACTCTAAAGTAACATGAAAGGATGATAGAGATGCATTCTTTGTAGTTGTGTCTTGATTCCTGTGTGATGGAGTAAGCGATTTTCGAAAAACCAAGAATCTAGGAAGAATTCAATTATGTCTTTTGTTATACTTTAATGCAACAACACCTGCTACAAATCATAAAGATTGGTGTCAGAGTAGTAGAAACTATCTTGTTCAGCTGCCTGGTAAATTATTGGTTCCAAAAAAATTGTATAATACTTTCTGATCATCGCAGTTTTTTATTAACATGGTTTTTACAAGTTCACTATTGTCCCTGTGAACATCTTAAGCACAGTTTCCTGTAATGCGCTGCATATGCATTTCATCATTAGGAATAAAACCTTCGCATACAGATCAGCGTTCACACTTCTGCAATGTACCTGTATTTACATATGTTCAGAAATCATTTGCATTCATTACCACATGCTTTTAATGGATGCTCTTGAGATATTTCAATTCGCAGATATGAATTATGAAAAAGCATGTTAGTAATTTTTAGATTAATAAGTGTATAATGCGCATTATGAATATATGTGATCGACTGCAAGTTTATTTACATTTTTAACTAATTTAAAAATTTTCTCTGTGTTTCTAATAGCCTTAAATATTTGTGAATAATACATGATTAAAACTGAAGTGTACTATTAATGTAAAGCAAACAAAAAACTTAATCATGACAAGAGTTTAAAAAAGTCTGTATTTTAAAACTGCATGACAATTGTAATGAAAGACAATACCATAATATTTATGTTTTGCAATATATGTGACTAATTGTCATGTATTGTATATTTTAAGTATGTATTTCAATTATGAGGTAAAAGGAAGACTGCATAAAATTTTAGTGTCTGTTGTTCAAACCTTATAGCTGTATTTTTGTTAGATGTTTTGTTTGTGTTTTAAAATATGCTATGTACAGTCATATCTTATTCATAATGCATAAAATATGATTTTCAGTTCACAATCTCTTTTACAGGTAAAGTTATGAAAAGTAAGCTAGCTTTAATAAAAAAGAGAGAGAGAGATTTGTGCATAATAAATTGCCCCATGTTTTTGTGGTATACTAGAAGTTCTTTCCCTGCAGTATAAATAAAAAAATCTCCAAATAATTTTACATATATTCATATAAAAGTAAAACTAAAGTACACATTATTGATTTGAAAAGAAGATCCTCTTTTTTTGCTATATTTTTGCTGCAAAATTTGGTAGGATTTTATATTTAGGTATTTTAATAAATGAAATTGCAGAATGACAACCAGAAATAATTGTAATATTATATAGAGAATATATTGTTTAAATACCAAGTAAACTATATAAGTAATAACCATATATATGTGTATCAAAATTAAAGAAATAACTGCCATGATTTTGAAAATCTCTATACTGTTATGCAAGAAATTTATGATAGTCTACTAATACTTCCAAATTTATTCCTGAAATGCTTTATTTTAACTAAACGGGCTGGCTGCATGGGTGTTTTCGTAGTTTTTCCCATGTGTATACGAGCCAGTTTCCTTTAGAAAGTCTTCCATGAAGGCATCCCTCCCCTTAGGCAGATAGCCCTCGAGACTTTGCCGTAATTAAATAACCTAAACCTATTTTAACTAAGCACAAATGGAAAGATTTTCTGCATTGCACATTTTTTTACTACTGTGTTAAATTAAATGATGTTTTTTTTATATAAATCAATGGCATCCCAATGGACACCAGTTTTCCATCACAGATTTATAACCTACTAGCTTTTACCTGTGGCTTCGCTCGCATTGATGTCCGTAAATAAGTTTCAAAGACTATTGAGAAGAAAATAAAATAATTTGATTTTTTTTTCTTATTGCCTGAGCAGGATAAAATTTTAGTTACTATTACTTATTTTTCAAGTTAAAAATACACTCTGCGTAAAATTTTAGTAAATACTGCTCTTCTTCATTGAGATAAAAAGAAATACATATTGATGTTGTTAAGACACTATTCTGCATAATTTTTAAAATCCAATTTGGATATTATCAAACATTGCAATCTTATGTTTGCCCCCCTTTTTTTTGGGGGGGGGCTTTACTAAAAAATTATAAAGTAAAATATAATTTTAAAAAAACTGAAAAACATGCTTTATTAAAATATCTATCTCACTACAGAAGTAAATAACTTTCATTACCAAGATTTCAAAAAGTTTAAAGTATTAACAAAGCGTTAAAAACATTAATTCTTTTTCAGAAGGGCACGAATAAGAGTAATATTCTGGGATGCTTCTGTATTCTATATTATATGTTTTTCCATTCGGTGCTAATACATATAAATTCCTGGCTTTACATACAAACAGGCATACATGCAAACAGGCAACATAAAAATGACCATAGGAAAAGCATGACTTTTCCAAATGCACAACTGCTCCCTGTAATATTTGCCCTTGAGCTTTGTTAATAGTAACAGCAAAACTAAGTTTGACTGGAAATTGCAGTCTTTTAAAGTGAAACGGTAGGTCAGATAGGATTATTGGGATTCGAGGTAACATAACACTTTCCCCCTTTCCTACACCTTTAAAATAGTGACATAGATTATATTCTGCCCTAATTGTGGGATCCGAAGCCTCGTTCCATTACACAGTCAAGGTGCATCTATATTTCGCATAAGCATAACCGGTACATTTAGTTTCAATTAGAGTTTATGTGAGGGTACACCTCATAGCTCTAGTAAAGGAATGAACAAAAAGAGATATCTTACCTCTAAAATTAAAACAGGTGTTGGTTAGGATCATAGTAAATAAAAGTACTTAAAAATATGCAACTTATATAAAAAATTGTCTTACAAACGAAGAATAATTATTCGAAAAATAAAAATAATAACAGTATTTCACAGAAAAAATGCAGTTTCAAATAATCATAACCATTCTTTCTTCAATTGTAACACTATAAACATTTCTCTGGGGGAAGACCTACTCTATAATATCAGTGCACTCTTAACGTGTGACAGGCGTAATACTAAGTATAGTATGACATTCATAGTTTCTTAAACAATTAACAGATGTTAATGTAAAAATTGTAGTATTTTATGTTAAACGATGTAAAAAGCATAGCAAAATTAAAATGTGAGTAATTTGTTAAATTTAAGCTACGGTCTTAAAAGTTTCAAAACGATAAGTTAAACCATGTAAAAGTTTGTCTGTGCATGCTGGTGTGTGGCTTAAACCACGCAAACATTTTATAACCTTTTCTACTATGTCAAAAATATTTCTTGAAAATTTCATGATGATCGATTAAGTAATTAGTGCGTGAAAGCATTTGAATAATTAGATCAAATGTTATAATTTTTGTCACCAATTTATTGGACCCACACAGGAAGACCTAAGAAAAAATCCCTAATGTTGCTATTGAGTCTCATTCAAATTAGCATTTTCTGAGTTTTTAATTAATATCTCATCTGATTAAAGTCGTACGAAGATGTCAAAGGTATCAATGGATTTGGGCCTATTTTTGAAATCGGGGGATATCTGTCTCAAAATTCAACTAAGCTCCGTTCCATAAATATTTGTGAAAAAAGAAATTGACGCATAGCCAGATCCCTTTAATAGGAAAAAACCCAACAAAGTAAGTGAAAAATGTAGGGGGGAAAAGTAGTTTTTAATTAATATCTCGGCTAATTAAAGTCGTACGAAGACATTTTATAGCCTATAACCTTTTCTAATATATCAAAAGTATTTCTTGAAAATTACATGATGATCGGTTAAGTAATTAAGGCGTGAAAGTGTAACACACAAACAAACTCACATTCACATTTATAATATTAGTTAGGATACTTATTTGCATAAAAATATCACTCTAAGCAATTGATGGATAATACTAATTTAAAATTTTTTGCTAATACCTTCAAAAACATAGATGATGTAATCAATAATTTTAATAATACTATCAATAATTTTGAATCTTTCGAGAAATTACATATTTAACCTTGTTTAAAACATAATAAATAAAACAAATGCCCATCAACCAAGAAATAGATTTTTGCGATTTACACGTAATTAACTACAGTAAAATTAAAATTTTTGATAAAAGAAGAGATTTTAAATTTACAGCTATTAAACTAATTAACTGGCACACAAACTTGTCAAGAAAAGTTTTTAGCAACACAATAATTAATAAATAAATAGAATAGAAATATCTGCTTTAAAAAATAGACTACTTGGAATATGAACTAATTTTGCTAACACAAGTTCGTAAAGACAAATTCCTTCCCAATTTATTAATTATTCACATTAAAAAGCAGTCATTAATTTTCAAATTTAAACTAATAAGTTATGATGGGCTTGTCTTAAACCATAAAAGAGAATAAGACTGGATGTTTGTTAGATTTTAATTTTTGTATATTTTGTAATGTAACTTGTAAATTATTTTTATGTAAATAACTGTCTGCTTTCTTTTCAATAATCAAAGGCCATTTTGTTCCTAAGATTCAAATATTGCCGATTCTGAGTGAAGACTTTTGATTGTAATTTTCCGTATTTTCATTTTCTTGGCTGTCAGCCAGAAATAATTTTTTACTATTGGTCAATTAACTTTCCTAATCTTGTCAAAAGGATCTTTCCACCTTTGCCAGTACTATTTTGATTTTCTTAGTCTATGGCCATTCCGAACGATTCTTTCACATAAGTTTCTTGCCATTCAAAATATACAGATAGCATAACAGTTAAAAATTCTCTCTTTCACCTCTTTTATAGTAAACCTAAGCATCCTTTAAGTATGGTTTCAAAGAGACTTCCTTTTCGAATTAAGGCTATGAGATGCATGCATCAAAAGAGTTTAGAAAAGTGAAAGTTAAGATTATATTTTTTAGCCAGTGTTATACCTGTAAATGTGAAATAAGAAAACTTAAAATTGTATACTTTTAGCTTTTTGTCTATATGGATTACTGACATGTTTTTAAATTGATTTGTCTGTTTATATTTACCTGTCATCAGTTTAAAAATTTTATAAATATGTGCCATTAGATCGCATCGGCGAATTTTCTTTGTCTGTTTCAAAATTTTTAATATAAATCCAAAAATAATATATTTTTTAGTTGTTTATTAGTCTCAGTTGTTACGCAAAGGGATTTTGTTCAAATATATGAAGGAGAAGAAATGCAGTCATTCCTGAATTATTGCAGATTTTATAAAAAAAGAATTTCATTCGAAATGTCAGCCTTCTTCCATGAGATAAACAATAATTAAAGTTTTTCTGATATGTACTAATTAAGTACTTTTAGTTTTTTTATGTGAATTCCATTAAAATTTTAAAATTTCTAAGTAATTTTTTTCTCATAGTTTTATCTCAATTTTCTGAGTAGTTATAGCACCAGATTTTTGCCTTTGAAGTCCTGCCACTAGTATGCATTTAAACTCAGTGGCATAACAGCCCTAATGGGCTAAGGCCTGCAGTGCCCGAAATCTGCTTTCTTGACCGTGGGCCTCGGCATGCATAAGCATATGCCCTGAACAAGTAGTCAGTTTGTCGCAAGGCTGTGTCGACCTTGCCCAGCCTGGGAATCGAACTCCGGACCTGTGGTGCTGCTGCGAGATGCGCAGTATGCATTTACATCATGCAAATTTGATTTATGTAGAATTCTAAGTGAATTAGTTTTAAAAATTTTGGTCATTTTAAAATTACTTATAAACCTACCTAAATTCATCACTTAAAAGATTGATTTGATTTTATTACTGAGCTCCTAGTATATTTCTTGCGAAAAGAATTTTAGGTACTCTTCTGTTATCGGGACCAGATTCAGAAATGTATGTATGTTTGCCTATATGTATGCATGTATTTACATGTATGTACATATGTATATGTGTGTATACACATATACACACATGGATAGGACACATGTGCATACATACATATATTTCTTAATCCGGTTCCGATAACAGAAGTGTACCAAAATTTAAAATGGCCTTTAAATTGAAATTGGAGTGAGTCTGAAAAATGTTTTCAATATTAACAAATCTTGTATTCTTACCTTGAGCCTGTTGCTACTTCTTTCACCGTTATTTTTCCTAGGCATTGTCTGATTGCTCATTTTTCATTGCAGCACTGGAAAGTTTTTGCATATATATGATTAGAACTGAATATGTTTCAACTCTGTTCACCCCATCTCATAGGTGTCAGTTGAAGAACTGCATATGTAGTTCACTAGTAAAAACAGTGCTGTATCCTTCTTTTCCATGAAATATGTAATCATTGCAGAAGAGGGAGAGGTGGATGCTTTGTTCCACTTGACAAATGTTTTTATACCTCCAATTACAGTACTGTTACTCCATCTGCAAATTTAGAATAGATACATTATTGCATGTATCGTTTGATGATGTCCTGCTACTGGAAGAAAAATACATTATTCCCTTGTACACTCACTTTTCCAACACGTTATGTTGTCATTTATCATGTAGAATGTGCTACAGTCAAAAGTCGTTAATCCGGACTAGTCGGGACTTCGACGATTCCGGATTATCGATTTTTCCGGATTATAGATCATCAGTTTAAATCTGGTAAAATGGCAAGCAGAAATATAAAATTAAAAATATGAAACCGTAATTTATGAAATAAAGAACAATTATGATCTAAAGGGTATCAAAATTTACAAAAAAAAAAGGCTTAATATTTATTTGCTTACTTTATTAAACATTTCTTTCAATGTAAGTTGTTTAAGTTGCTTCGTTTTTTATGTGATAATACATTCTCTTTAATTCTATAAACAGACATAATTTCTTGTTCAGTTACAAAGTTCCACTGTTCAAGTCCTATAATTGCTGTGTCTACCAACTAATTTGTCAATTGAAATTTTTTCGTTTTTAATAACCTCTGTCACTTTCTTCGCTGTCGGAAGCGAATTATAATGATGAGGAATTTGATTTAAATCATATCAAAGACGGAGTACATCAAGATGAAATACTACATTTAGTAAGGAATTATAAGCCAAATAAAATAAAAACATCGCCCTGAAGATAAGGATAGTGCTGACAGATCAACTTCCAATTCATTGCGCGGCACCACGGCGTTAAAGATAAACAAACGTTAAAGTTTAGATAAACAAAGGATATGCCTTTATCCATTTTTTTGCAGCAATTCCACTTTTTGTTTAATGAACTTCGAAATATACTTTCGCTTTGTAGATCCTTTACATATTAATAAATATATATCAGAAATTCTATTTGACATAATCGAAAGTTCAAGCTTACTTTTATAAAATTGCTCTAACAGTCTGCAAAAATAATAAGCCAGATCCAATTTGAAGATTAAGGAACAACGCAATCTGCAACATTAACTTAAATAGATAATTAGATAATTTTAGCTTAGCTTATACCGTCCATTATACATTAAACGTGCACTCGTAAACATATTTTGCGCACGCGCACAAGCAGATGTAAAGGTCTTACCCGCATGCACCAGTACGACACATGCACAGAAAGTTTGTAGCTTTGAGGTCCGCATTATAGATAATTCCGGATTATGGGTGTCCGAATTAATGACTTTTGACTGTATTGTGAAATCCTGGTTTTTGTGGAAATTTTTGAGATGTTGTTAACTGTAACTATACTATGCCAGAGATGCCTATACTTTATATAACCGTATTATACTGGGATGGTAAAATTTTATATCAGTAGAAGCCACATGATAGAATTCAAGAATGTTTGAGTGCCACAAACTGTATTTTTTATCTTTTTTAAGAGCAGAAAAATATTTTTTGAATAGCAAGAAATTTTTCAAATAAATTAACAAGGACTATATGTAATGCAGATACTTACTAATATAAATAAATAATTCTTGTTCGCATTGCTTTGTATTCATCAGAATATGTTCTTATATTATAAAAATTTAAATAACTTATTTGAATATAATGATAATAATTCATATGATACATTGAGAACCTCTGATTTTCAGGCAAAAAACTAGACTTCTTCTGTTTGTTTTTTCACCTTTTTTAATTCTTTGTACAAAGTAAAGGAAATATCGCAATTGCAAAAAAATTTGGGTATCATATTTCCGCAGAAATATCCATTTTGACCATTCCCGAATACTCCCCCCCCCATGTCGTCTATGTAGCAAAGAACTGTTTTTTCTAAAATGGATTTGAAGTGCATTCAAAGGTAATTTTTTTTTTGTGTCATCTCTGTATGTACATATGTATGTATTTCGCATAACTCAAAAATTATTAGCCATACAGTGTTGAAATTTTGTGTATGGGACTGCTGTAATATCTAGTTGTTACCTCTCTTTTTTATTGCAATCAGCAGAACCAAACATATATGTATAAACTCACCCCTCTCTTACTTTTAAAGTCCTTATCCGGCCTTTAGTTTCACAGTCAGAAGTGTTTTAAATGACAAAAAAAATTCATGTTTTGACAATGTGAAATTTTTTAAAAAATTTTAATTTTCAACAAATAATGAAACTTTTAATGTGGTCTTCTGGTTCCTATACGTATATTTGGGAAAGTGTTATTATGAAAGAATAAAATTACAGTCAAAAGTCGTTAATCCGGACTCGTCGGGACTTCGGCGATTCCGGATTATCGATTTTTCCGGATTATAGATCATCAGTTTAAATCTGGTAAGATGGCATGCAGAAATTACAAAATTAAAAATATGAAACCGTAATTTATGAAATAAAGAACAATTATGATCTAAAGGGTATCAAAATTTACAAAAAGAAAAAGCTTAATATTTATTTGTTTACTTTATTAAACATTTCCTTCAATGTAAGTTGCTTCGTTTCATGTGATAATACTTTCTCTTTAATTCTATTAAACAGGCATAATTTCTTGTTTAGTTACAAAGTTCCGCTATTCAAGTCCTATAATTGCGTGTTGAGAATGAGAATACCGACAATAAAAACATTATGACTCTGAAAGATAAGGAATAGTGCTGACAGATCAACTTCCAATCCGCAGCGTGAAATTGATAAACAGATTTCGGATTTCAAAACATACTTTCGCTTTGTAGATACAAATTACATATAAGTAAATATATATCGGAAATTCTATTTGACATAATCTTTCTAATCTATCATAATCTAATAATGACGTTTCTGCCCCCCCCCTCTCTGCTGCAGAGCAGCGTGAAATTGATAAACAGATTTCGGATTTCAAAACATACTTTCGCTTTGTAGTAAATATATATCGGAAATTCTATTTGACATAATCGAAAGTTCAAGCTTACTTTTATAAAATTTAACAGTCTGCAAAAAATAATAAGCCGGATCCAATTCGAAGATTAAGGAACAACGCAATCTGCAACATTAACTGAATTAGATAACTTTAGCTTAGCGTATAACTTCGTTACACATTAAACGCGCATGCGCACAAACATATTCGCAGCTGTAAGGGTCTTATGCGCTCTCGTAAACGCCTGTGCGCATGCGTGAACGCGACGCATGCGCAGAAAGTTTGTAGCTTTGAGGTCCGGATTATAGATCATTCCGGATTATGGGTGTCCGAATTAACGACTTTTGACTGTATAAGAAATTTTCCTTAGATGTGACAAAAATTGACCATGATATTTAATTCCAAAATTTGTATTAGAATAACTCAAGGAAATAAGTTTAAATGAAGTGCAGCAATAAAAGTGTATAATTTATTAGGCAATAGTACAAGGATATTGTATCCACATCAGATTTTTTTTTTTATAATTGTCAACTGATTTTAATAGGAGATAATTTAAAGCTAAAAATGTCATGATGTTTTTAATGTTAGTGAAGAGTGTCATCTAAATGAAGAATAATGCAGCAATTTTAAATATAGAATAAGCGATTTTTCTGTATTTCTAATACATAAGACATTCTTCTGGAAATAATCCACGATATAATTTACCATCTCATCTTTTTACTATTCTTTGTAAACAATTCAATATCAAAGCTTATGTTTTAATTTTTTGTGTGGTTGTGCATGCTTGCATGCGTGTTCGTTTTTTGAGGCACATGTAGGTTTTTTTTTTTTTTTTTAAATAAGTATGTTATGTTTTATCATTACACGGGAATTGATTAACTGTTATTTGATCTTTTCATAAATTTTGCTATTATTTTTGTGGCATAATACTGTTACTGTTTCACTTTAATAAACTGTTTTCTGTTTCTTATACCACGAATACCAATTTATGTGAGGATGACTTATTTTATAAAACTTTAGTACTGTAAATCACCAATTTAATCACTAATTAGGAAGAAAATAAATTTATTTTTAAAACACATTCAGTTATTTGGCAAAAATTTATTTGAAAATTGATAATAAGTTTGTCTCTTCTCAAAATAAGTGTAAAATTTTTTATGATAAAAAGTGTCATGCAGTACATTTTAGATTTCCTTGACATGGATATTTTTTAAGGAAAAAAACATTATAAAGATTAGTGTATAATTTAACATATGTAATCATTTTATGCTGAATAATATATTACTTTAATTAAGAAATGTTTTCTTCTACAGGATAATGCTTCTAAAGTCACAGGATCTGATATGCCTTTGTATTTTCCATGCCCTTTCAGGTGATTATCATTTTGTATAGTCCTTTGAATATGTATGAAGTACTTTTATAAAGTATTTTGGGGTGAGGGAGTTAGCATATTCTATGACGAAATGCATATCATCAGATGAAATTTGTGGTACAGTACATAATTAATAAAAAGTATTTTTTCTTACAGTACTGAAAGAATAAAATATATTACATTATGTATTCAGAATGTAAAAATTGCATTGTCTTCAACATTTTCAATTTATAAAGTTTGAAAAACAAAATTTTTTCATATTTATTTAGTCAAGGCCTTAACAATTCTATTTTTTAAAATAATGGTGTAACTTGTTTTTATAATCAAACTAATAGACTTTGTCTAATAAATTTTGAGTTAAAATGTCTTTGCAACTGGAATATAGTCTTAATTTGTGATGAAATTTTAAAAAAAAAAATGCATTACAATTATGATGAAATTTACTTAAATAATGAATGAAAAAGAAATAATTGTTAATGTATACAAAATTTATAGAAATAATGTATACAAATTATAATAATTTAAGCCAATTATGCTTTTTGAGCATCTCATAGCTGAATCCTTTCGATTCTTTTAAAGTGATAATCTGCACTGCTTTCCAATATGTTTCCAGTTTCATATTTTTTGATAGGCATCTATTTGTTTATTTACAAAAATTCCTTAGTTACTAATGTATTTTATATTCAGAGTATGTTTACTTCTAGATTTGTATTTTTATTTTAAATGCATTTCACTTTGTTATTCTGAGATAAGTGCATTCATAAGACTTTAATAATATTTTACAGTAATTTAAATTCTGTGTGTGTCTCCAAATTGTTTAGCATTATTATCCTTAAATAAAAAAAATACTTATTTCATCTGCATTCATAAGTACTTTACTTACTGCTTTTCACTGAATTCTATTCATATCTGTGATAATTTTGTGTTTATTATTTGTAGGTCCTCTAAACCACAAATTGCTCAGTTAATGAGAATTCATGTTGTTACACCTAAAGCTCCTGTTCATGTGACTCTTAACCCAAAAGTTCAACCAGCTCCAGAACCTTGTCCACTCTTTTTCCCAACTTTGAATGAACCCTTGAAGTTATCGCAGTCTGCATATTGGGTTTTAAGATTACCGTATCCTTATGCTTATGTATATATATATATAACATTTTTTCAACTTTTTAAAATTTATTATCTCTAATCCCATGAAAAACCATTAAGTTATATGAGTAGTATTAGTATATTATTCCCTAAACCTTTTAAATTGTGTTAAAGAAAATCAGATAATTATAATAATTTTAGATGTTACCAGCATTTCTGCTGTAGTGTAACTGCTGTACCAGCCACAGCATAGTTTTATCCAAAGTTCAGTTCGCATTGGCATAGGGGTTCTCGACCAAGGAGGAATCCCTGCTGCTGAGGAATGCATTCAACCTTTTATTTAGCTGCTCAGTATTTAGTTTTAATTTTTGAATTGAGGAAAAAAAAAACTACTCTTTTTCAAGTTTTAGTATTTATCAATATTTTCTATGTATCATTGTTGCTTAATTAATAAAGGATGTTAAAAACAATCTAAATCTGAATAAATGTTTATGTATTTTTCAAGTTTGGGACTGGGGAGATGAACTTCTAACAGGGGTGAAAGGGGTGCATGGGGCAAAAATGTTTGAGAACCCCTGCATTAGCAGAATCAGTTGTACTGTATGCTTGTAAAATTTTTCTTATGTTTCTTTTAAAAATTACTGCTTATGTTCTTATCATAATACTGTACGAGTTACGATTATGAAATTGTAGAGATTTTTCGTATTTAGAAATGGAAAATTAAATTTGTTTTGATAAGATATTTTGATTTTTAGATCTTTCAATATTTTTTCAAATAAATTTTTACTGAAAATTTGTCCAAACATTTTATTTAGTAAAAGGTTATTATCTGTCTCCCCTCCCCCCCGGAGGATGAGTTTTTTTTTTTTTTTTTTCAGTGAAGGGGGGGTCAGTGGATCTTTATTTTCTGTAGTGTTTGAATTTTGCAATGCATATGAAAGCGGTCTGTTTAAGGGAAGAATTTAATAAGGAAAACTGGTTTACATCATATAACATGTGGTAGGAACCTTAACCACTTCGAGCCGGGTAGCGAAAACGCGCACTTATCGCGGAGGCCGGCAGTGTCTTCCGCGAGCGTCTCTCCAGGGCCGGGGGCTTTCTTGCTACTAAGCCTAAATCCATGAAATTTCCGAAGTATCAACGCATTGTTTAATAATGCCCTATAGAGTATTTAAACGGCTTATGCTTTATAGATATTTATATATATATACTTTAATTACCTTATTTCTTGTTTAAATGCATACTTTACACATTTTATTTTAATTACTCACCATTTTATGACCATTTGCTACTAAGCCTAAATGCATGAAATTTCCGAAGTATCAACGCATTGTTTAATAATGCTCTATAGAGTATTTAAACGGCTTATGCTTTATAGATATTATATATATATACTTTAATTACCTTATTTCTTGTTTAAATGCATATTTTACACATTTTTTTAATTACTCACCATTTTATGAATTTTAACATTATACATCTGAAAACTAAATATATTACTTAAAATTCTCTTTTCATATGAAAAATTTTAAAACAGGGATCTACACACAGTCCTACGTTACATTCCTTGCACTCGTAATAACTCATTTGCCGTTTTGGAGGATTTTTCCGGGAATGTGAACAGAAAAATCCTCCATCCCAAAGCATCGTCGTCTCATTTTCTTATCAGTCTCTTCTGAACAAAGTTTTGGAAAATGTCTTTCAGTTAATCTTTCAGAATCAATATCTGAAATATTTTGCATCATTTCTGCTATTTCATGCTCTATTAAACATTTTCGACGCTTCGACATTGCAACGGTAAAAACAAAGAATTCACGTCTAACAAGATCTAATTATTTTCTAAAAACTGAACTGTAAATCGAAATACTCAACGCTTTAGCGCATATAAAACTTCTACTTATAATAAACAACTACCACGTGCGAATAAAGTGCGATTTAAAGAGACGTCATAAATCACGCCATTTGAAAACATTTAGTTCCCCCATTTGTTTATATAATCAAAAACACGTGTATGTGAGTCATGTCTGTGTATGTGAGTCATCTCTCATTTTGAGTAGAAGGTCTAATGTACATGTATCTGAAAACATGTGGACATACAGTGCCATCTTGTGGCAGAAATTATAGTTTGAAAAACGTTCCAAGGTACTGGCACAAATACGTGACAGTCGATAGTAGACGCAACAATGCTCTGGCACGCCTGCGTGTCGGCTGGTAGATAAGTGTGTTCATTGCTGGTATGTATACGTGACAGTCGGTGCGAAGGGGTTAAAAAAACAACTGTGCTGTCAGTACTTGCATTGGTATTCAGGCTTGGATTAACAATTATCAATCAGTTGTATCCTCATTGACTATGGTTGACTGTCAACCATAGTCAATGAGGTGTCAACTGTGACTTGTTGGTGGTTCTGACTGAGAATGGTGGTAAAGATTTTACTTAGTCTAGAAGCTCATCATATATTTTGCTTATTTTTTAGAGAAAATTTTCCTCCATTATTATTTTTGAAGGCAGTCTACCCCCCCTGTGATGTTTTCAACTAAAATCTATTTCAATGCACATTTCATAATCATTGAGAATTTTTCATTCAAATACGATATGGTAGCTCCCTTTTTTTATTTTCAATTACATTTATTTTTCACGTAAGAATTGTTATATGAGTTGCTAACTAAATTTGATAAATCATCATCATTCAGTTCATTATGCTATGCAAGAGTTTATTCAAGAATTAAAAATGGCTTTGCAATAAATGAACAGTTATCTAAAGATAAATTTATGTTTACGTACATAAGTAACATTCTTTTGCTGTGTAATAATGCTTAATTGTAATATTTAATTTTTGGTACATTTAATAATTAACAAAAAGTATTAAGTGAGTTAAAACAGCGGGAACATGCAATTTTGTCGTGTACAATTAAATTAGCTTAACTTCGAGTTATTTTTTATGACTGCATATGTGATGCCATGTATGAAATTTATTTTAAATTTTCAAAAATAAAAATTGAGTGATTCCAAAAAGTAATATAAAAAGTATTATTTAGTGTAGTATTATAGCCTGAGTTCCCCTCCAACATATATTAAAGTTTAATTGGTATTAATCTAAAGGAAATTAGTAGTATATATTTTGTAATTTGTTTTTTTTATCAAACACTGCAACGTGCAAGTAGATGATGGGTTGAAAAGGGTACTTTATGTGATTTGATTAATTTCATTTAATTTATCTTATGATAACTTCATTATTATATAATATTGATATCACAAACTCTATTCAATATATGTACAGACAGCTTTCTTAAATATTGTTACATTTTTTTCAATAAGGAAATCAGAGATTTTTCCTAATTATTCTGATTTTAATTTCATTATTTGAATACAAGTATGGATTCACATTATGTATCACTTGCAAAATTTGTACGAAATCAATTTGCTTAACTTTTGGTTTTCGACAAGTATCTAATACAGTCAAAAGTTGTTAATTCGGACACCCATAATCCGGACCTCAAAGCTAAAAACTTTCTGCGCATGCGCCGCATTGGCACATGCGCACAGGCGTTTTACGCGTGCGCGTAAGACCTTGACTTCTGCGCATATGCGTGTGCGCAAGTGCAGAATACGTTTTCGCCTGCGCGTTTAATGTATAACGGACGGTGTAAGCTAAAATTATCTAATTATCTATTTCAGTTAATGTTGATGATTGCATTGTTCCTTAATCTTCGAATTGGATTCCGCTTATTATTTTTTGCAGACTGTAAGAGAAATTTTATAAAAGTAAACTTGAACTTTCGATTATGTCAAATAGAATTTACGATGCTGGAACTTCCAAAGGATCTACAAATCGAAAGTATGTTTCGATGTTCAACAAACAAAAAGTGGAATTGCTGGAAAAAATGGATAAAGACATGGAGAATGTGACAGAGAGGTTAGTGAAAACGAAAAAATTTCGATTGACAAGTTAGTCGGTATTCTCGGCACAGCAATTAACGGGACTTGAACAGCGGAACTTTGTAACTGGACAAGAAATTATGTCTGTTTATAGAATTAAAGAGAAAGTATTATCACATAAAACGAAGCAACTTAAACAACTTACATTGAAAGAAATGTTTAATAAGGTAAACAACTAAATATTAAGCTTTTTTTTTTTTTTTTTTTTGATACTCTTTAGATCATAATTGTTTTTTATTTCATAAATTACGGTTTCATATTTTTAATTTTAGAATTTCTGCATGCCATCTTACGAGATTTAAACTGATGATCTATAATCCGGAATCGCCGAAGTCCCGACGAGTCCGGATTAACGACTTTTGACCGTATTTCACATTTGAGGCTATCATTATAACAAGAATTTTAATGATTTTCTAAGTTTTTGTGAACTAACTGACACATCAAAGATAGTTCATTATAAAGTAATGACAATCAACTACTGAAAGTTTGAATGATATTAAAATGCCCTATCATGTATTTTTCATAATTAGCCAAGTAAATAATTTTTCATTGTAATACTTTTCAATACTTTTCTGTTATCAGGTACTGATTCAATAATGTATATATGTATACTTTTCTGATATCTTTGAGTTAAAGAAAAAGGTATATTTGTGTTTTTATGTTCCCAAACGAGTTTCTGGTTACTCTTTCAAATTCTATATTATTAAAAAATTAAAAATATTTAGCATCTCCAAAACTTTAAATAGTTTGTTAATTTATTTTCACTAGACATACAGAAAAATTTGATTTATGAAAAAGTTCATTCATCCTTAATAATTATAATAGCTTTGTTTATGAAGGTGAACATGGACCGTATTTACCGCCTAGAGAACCCATGCCAGTGTCAGCATGTCGACTACTGAAGGGAATGTATAATATTGCAGAACAACAATCAAACAGATGAAATCAGGACTAGGATTTGTGATGAAGGGAAAAGTGAGGTTTTTTTTTAAAGAAATATTTCAAATATGTATTTAAAAGTTTGAATTATGTTTCAGTCCTGAATGCTATGCAGGTACTTAACCAAACTCTGGTTAAATATTTATATTAATTTCGTTAGAGTTCTGCTTTCAAGCTTTTATTTAGCAAGAATTAGATGTGACCTCGAGAAGTCATGCACATTAGTTCTTTACAAGTAAATAATTTCAAAATGTGTAGATTTAATTTTAAAAAATAATTTTTATTAAGCTCTTAGAGATGAAATGTCTTTTTCCTGAAGTTTTATGTTCCCTTAAGATGGGAACTTAGTTTCTGTTTGGTCATTTTGTTATCGAATCAGCATGCCTTTACATTAAGAAGCTAAACATTCCTTGAGACACTCCCAGTGTCCTTGACTGTAAAGTGTAGTAAAACGATGTGCCCCTTTCTTGTTATTGTGAAGGCAAACCTTAAATCTGTGAAACAATGTGAAGGCAATAACCTTAACTTAGCATAGTAACATTAAATACAGAATGTTAGGTAATTAGCGACTTGTGGGATGTGTTTTTTTCTTATCATATTTGTGGTCCAGTAGAGCCCGATATTCAGTGGTGTTAAAAGCTGAATAATTGTTATGTCTTGGATACTCTGTGCTTTATGTGTGGATTATGTGTCAGTGGAACTACTGCCAGTTTTTACTTCTTAAGTCTATTCTATTTATTTACTTTATTTTATTATAAAACAGTTGCCTATACATAAATGCTTGGTTCAGGGGGCCTTCATGTAGCACAAAATAAGTAACAAATAAAGAAAATGTCAAGTTAGCTGTAAATTTTTAAAAATGAAACTAACCAACTGTCTAAAAAATGAAAAGTAATTTTTGAGTTGATTTGAGATAAAATTTCTTTAAAATCTATTGATGAAATTTCCTTAAAATTAAACTGCAAGTTTTCGATATTCACGAAAAAAAATGAACAATTAAATTCTAATACTGCAAAGAAAAGAGAAACTCTTTCAACTTTCTCAAGAAAAACTGAAAAATGGTTAACATTTAAAAACTGATTTACTTCAAGTGTATGTGAAAATAAAACTATTTCTAATGCTGTAAAGTTGCAAAAGTGATGCATGGAACTTTCAGTCCCTTGAGGTTCATTATTGTGGGTTTGGTCGTATGCAGAAGAAAATTAGCAAGTTGCCTGCTGATATTCCGAGAAACATAAGCTAAAAGAATTTGAAACAATTGAGTTGTCATTTCTGATAATTACCTGACTATATAGCTTTTTACTTGGATAGCTACGTTTGAAGGGGATGTTGTCGACCTCACTCCCGCATTTTAATGAAGCAGCGTAAAAATGCAATTTATCCAACATACAAAAATTAAATTAATTCCAGGAGCACTGTAGCAGTCTTTTACTCCCAGCAGACCCACAAGAGAGACTCTGAGGGAAGAAAGAAGTTGTGGTGTGAAAACGTTCATGCCATGTGCACCTTCTTGCTGATTGACTGATGCGGCACATCTATCACCGGCATGAATGAAATGCTACAGAGTATGCCCCCAGTGACAAAGTCACAATTACAAATGATAATAAATATTTACAACATATGCAGAAAATGGAGATATAATGCAAAATTATTGAAATACAGAAAATGAAGATGCAATACATTTCTCATTCACATGAATAAAATTTTAACGGTTATTATCAGATTATTATTACTTCTGTGCTTTATGTTATCAATCTTTTCCCCTTGTGATTTTGTCAAGATGGTTATTTTGTGCATCCAATATTGACTAATAATTGAAACTGCTGTCTCATATTTACTTCATAATTATAGTTTTGCATCATATATCATTAGTCTGATAAAACGTTTATATTTGTTTATTTTATTTTTAAATTTTTTTCATTGATTTTTATCTTTTATTATTATTATTATTATTATTATATTATTATTATAAGGTGCTTTTAATATGTTCATGAAAACTCTGTGTCATGCGGAAATTCTACTTGCGAGATGACCAGTATCATTTGCAGTATCTTCATACGACGAGTATGTATGAGTAGCAGTCATTTCACACAGTGTATGGATTTACATGCTGAAATTGCAAGAAAAATGTGTTTAATATCAGAAGGGAAAATGTTTCATCAGCTACTTGCAAAATATAGCTATGGATGCCAAAAGAAAAATGAATTCATCGAAGAATTTGTAATTTTAAAAATCATTTAACATTTTTAATTGTCTTTTTAATTTTGAAAGGTTAATTTTCTTTTCCTGTATCTTCAGACAGTAACTGCATGGAGAATTAATGTTTTGGATAAAAATTCTTATTTTCAGGGATGGTGGAACAACAAAACTTGCATTCACTTATTTTTCTTATGCTGCTAAAACCTGTAAATTTCTTTCTGTACTGAGAAAAATATACTTCTTTTTTATTTCTTTGCTGTCTTTTTTTGGAAAAAAAGTTATGTATTTTCTTTTCATTCAATCTGTGTTTAAAGTTTTTTAATGTTAAGTACAGTACAAAGTCCATAATCCGGACCTAAAAACCACAAACTTACTTAGGCGCGTAAAGCGTTTACCATGTGCACTTCCGATAGAAAGTGACAGAGGTTATTGAGAACAAAAAAATTTTGATTGACAAGTTAGAGGTATTCCTGGCACAGTAATTACAGGACTTGAACAGTGGAACTTTGTAACTGAACAGGAAATTATGTCTGTTTATAGAATTAAAGAGAAAGTATTAGCACAAAAACCGAAGCAACTTAAACAACTTATGAAAGAAATGTTTAATAGGTAAACAAATAATATAAGCCTTTTTTTTCTAATTTTGATACCATTTAGATATAATTGCTCTTTATTTCATAAATTACGGTTTCATATTTTTGATACCCTTTAGATCATAATTGCTCTTTATTTCATAAATTTCGGTTTCATATTTTTAATTGTATAATTTCTGCATGCCATCTTGCCAGATTTAAAATGATGATCTATAATCCAGAAAAACCACTAATCTGGAATCGCCGAAGTCCCGACGAGTCCGGATTATGAACTTTGTACTGTATTATATAAAAACTGCTTAAATATTTGGCACTTCCATTGAACTTTCAATTAAATAATAAATATGCCAATTTTCCTGGTTTTTCCTTCTCACCATACAGCAATAAAATATGTTAAATAAAAGTTTTTTAATATTTCAAGTATAATTCATAATTTTAGATAATCATTTTTATCATTGGTTACCATTTTTGTTTTTTAATGCATTAAAAAGAAGTTGTAACTATAGTTTGACCGTCACAAACATAACCCTGGTTGCGATTCTGCCAAAACACCGAGAAACGTCTAGAACGAGAGGTAATTATATGCTGCTGGACGAGGGATCACATAACCCTTTCCGGCACGCTACCTTTTAAAGTTGGAATTTCGATTTAAAAAAAAAGGTAGGCAGTTTAATTAGGCCTAGAGGAGTACACAAGTAAAATTTTGTAAAGATAGCACTTATCGTTTTAATTCTGTGGGTGTGCCTGAAGCAGGCACACTAATTGAATAGAGGTTCGAAAAGAGTGCTGAAGCAAGCATTGCTGGGAAGCGAGTAAAAGAGTTTCGCCTACGAATTAAAAAACACTAGATTCTGAATACCACAGAAGATTTAGCATTACCAAGCATGTGTCACGAGGCAATCTGCTACTCTACACCCCCTAAAAAGCTCATTTTCGGTTATATGATGATTACATGTTTATGAATGGAAAAAATAGTTACTTGAATATATGATATTTGCATTATTTACATTTCATATTTAAACTTTAGTCTGTGGGTGTGCCTGAAGCAGGCACACTAATTGAATAGAGGTTCGAAAAGAGTGCTGAAGCAAGCATTGCTGGGAAGCGAGTAAAAGAGTTTCGCCTACGAATTAAAAAACACTAGATTCTGAATACCACAGAAGATTTAGCATTACCAAGCATGTGTCACGAGGCAATCTGCTACTCTACACCCCCTAAAAAGCTCATTTTCGGTTATATGATGATTACATGTTTATGAATGGAAAAAATAGTTACTTGAATATATGATATTTGCATTATTTACATTTCATATTTAAACTTTAGTCTATTTTTTTCATCGTGGTACTTTTCGAAAAGTGACACCACCTTTAAAAAGGCACAACCCAATATTGCATGTTTTGCACATGTACTGGGATCCGTATCAGATTCACTATCTGAAAGCAATTCGTGTCGCACTTTCAGTGCTTTAGAAATGGTCAGCCCTCTCGGATCTGTTTGGAAAATAATTAAAAATCCAAAAAAATAAACTAATATTATATCTACAATTTGAAATTATAAACTATCAAATAAAAATGTGAATGTCTAAAACTCAAAATTATTAAACGTAGTGCTAAGAAAACTTCTTTTAACCAAAGCGAAAGAAAAAAAGAGAACTGCTCTAGTGAAAAAAAAACCAAACAGCTAACTATAAAACCAAACAGCTAACTGATAAAGTTATCCCTGACCTTCAGAAAATCACCCCAACAATTTCTTAATTGATAACCAAACCTCCCCTCCAAAAAAAAGGGGGGAAGAAGAAAGAGAAATACAGGAAATGAAACACAGATGTGGGCCCACCTTTCTATGTTAATGTGCTGACCGATGAGCTGCAGAGAAACAAAGATACAACTGCCTCTCACTGACCTAGACTCGCAGTGAGCCCAGTCTGGGAACACCACGGTTCGCCGTTCGATTTTAGGCAAGATTTTAAGTTAAAAATTTAAAACTAATATAAATAGAAGGAGATTAGCATACAGCCAAAAAAATAACATAGAAATTTCCTTTCAATTAATTTCTTTTATACCCCTTAAAAAAAAATCGGGAAGATTTCTTTGAAAAATGAGGGTCTTAAAAAACTAAACATGGCTAAAATATATAAACTGGTTTGTGTTGAGTTGCCATCTACTATAAATAAAGAAGGTTCAGAGTAACCTATAGTAACCTTCAAATCCTTTTTCATTCAATTTTTCTGTGCATACAGAAGGAAATTTTTAGGTGTGCCTAGACCGGGCACCCCATGCCGCAAAGAGTTAAGGGTCATCTCTTTGCTAGAAAGAGGAAATTAAGTACACAAGGAGGGAAAGTCCTTGTCATAGGAGGACCATATCATCACATGCTTTGGTACCTTTGGATCACATGAACAGAAATAAAGATTCATATTGATTTGAAACCTGGAAAACCGAGCATTTTTTTAAATAATTTATAAATTTTATATGAACAGTGCATATTTCATCATTGAATTTAAGAAATAGCACCGCTAAAAATCATGAACTGTATTTTTTAGCAGAAATGTACTTTTTGTAGAATAAAAAAGAATGGTAAGAAGCTTTCTCCTTATTTGATGAGATATGTCCTAATCATAATTGATTTAATGTGACATTTGTGAGTATTACAATTTTTTTTTTTAAACAGATTTTATGTTTGTTTCCCCAGTTAATATGAATGATATAGATTTTAGCACAAAAATAGAAAAGAAATATAGTGATTGTTTATTATAGTATAATTATTTTTAATTAACTTTTATCTATTGCAATTTTTAAGAAATTTATTTTTTTTTCAGTACCTAATAATGTACATACATTGAAATTGAAAGATAAAATATATGTTTAATAATTATTTACTGTCATAAAATTATTAAAACCAAGTAGAGTAATAATATTAAAATTCTAGTACTTATAATATAATGAAAATTGTTCAATAAAATATAACAATTAGGTAATTATATTAAAAACTGTTATACAATAACAATTATTTATTACAATTTTTCATCAAATTATGTATATATGCAAAATTAAGCTTTGAAAACACTTGTATTTTTACCAATATATAAATAAATAAGTGCACAAAATTAAACGCAATGTAATGAAATAGTTAATTCCAAATGAAGACCAATATTTCAGCTCAAATTACTTAAAAGTAATTGTGGGCTCTTTGAATGTTTGAAATTAAACAGGGAGAAAATGAGAACAAAAAAAAAAAAAAATCCCTGCTATGTGATTCATGTCCATCCTCCTTCTATCATGAATAAATTGGTCCAAATGGTACATGCATGTTTGCAGCTATGACGGTCAAACTATATATAGATATTCATAACACTGTTCAGTAAAAATTTGAGGTTTGGGTCCATTGTTTTATTGACATGTACCCTCTCTCACTAAACATTACTATTGCAATTTTAAAAATAGCACAGCCATGTCGCAGTAGAAGAACTATTGTCTTTTATTTACAATTTTGCTGATCAATAAACACCATACGTTCTCGAATTAATTACCAGAATATCTGTAGATTATAAACATAGCTACTTACATGTCATTTCTTCATATACAGTCAAATGCTATGCATTTTGTAAGTTAAAAGGCAATTTACACAATAACAATAGTTTCCGTTAATATCAAATGGGGTAAAAATTTTATTGCAGTCACTTTATGAAATAAATTAAAGGAATTGAAAATTTTAATAACAGACTGAATAGCCACTGAAAGCAAAACAATTCTGTAAAGAAATTAAAGGAATTAGATAGCAGTGCAGCTTTTTAACAATTTTAGATAATAAGCAAGTGACTATAACTAAAAAAAATCTATTTATAGAAAAACTTTAAAATTTGTAAGCATTCAAGAGCAAGAATAGTATTTCTCTTAACTGTTACTAGATACTTTATTGTTTTAAAAGTGGCAAGAGAGATTTTTAATACTGTAGGGTTTCACTTGATTAAGCCCAATAACCCTGACAGACGTGAAGTCAATTATTATTATACGAAGTCCTTAATCTGGACTCATCAGGACTTCGGCAGTTCCGTATTAGGGGTTTTTCCGGATTATAGATCATCAGTTTAAATCTGGTAAGATGGCATGCAGAAAGTATACAATTAAAAATATGAAACGGTAATTTTTGAAATAAAGAACAATTATGATCTAAAGTGTATCAAAATTTACGAAAAAAAGCTTAATATTTATTTGTTTACTTTATTAAACATTTCTTTCAATGCAAGTTGTTTTAAGTTGCTTTGTTTTTTGTTCTAATACTTTCTCTTTAATTCTATAAACAGACATAATTTCTTGTTCAGTTACGAAGTTCCACTGTTCAAGTCCTGTAATTGCAGTGTCGAGAATACCGAAGAACTCGTCAATCGAAATTTTTTCATTTTCAATAACTTCTCTGTCACTTTCTTCACTATCGGAAGTGGTATTTTCTGGATTTAGAACCATACTACAGATTTCGCCATTTGTTAGTTGATTCATGATTGGGGCGTTGTTGTCGCAATGAAAAACTTCTGTTATATCATCTTCATTTATTACCGCTTCTCCACATTTCTTTACAAATTCCAATAACTGGAAAATTTCACCTTTAGTTAGTCCAAAAACCTTCAAATTTGTGGCTATCATCTTCATCGTCCTCACTATG